CATTGTCTAATAAAGTAGCTATATGGATACACATATAAACAAGTTTTGATTCGTGAAGTCTTGAAAGCATTGGTGTTCAAAATGTCGACATTCAAGGAACCTTCCTTTCGTAGCAGTCAGACCCTCCAAATGTCCCTATTTTCCAGGGACAGTCCCAGATTCACAGAAACTGCCCTGGTTTCTGTTTTGATCCTGGAATGTCCTGCCTTTTCCTTAGGACATCCCTATTTTCATCGGAGAAATGTTGGAGGGTATGGAGTTATGTGACCCCTGAGAAGACCTCTGAAGGCAGCCTTGTATAGGGAAGGTTTTTTAATGTTTAATGTTTTATTATTCTTATTATGTGTTGGAAGTCTCCCAGAGTGTCTGGGGCAACCCAGTCAGATGGGTGGGGTAGCAGTAATAAAATTGTTGTTGTTGTTGTTAAATAGGACATCCCTAATTTTCATTGGAGAAATATTGGAGGGTATGAGTATCTGTCAGGAAACCTGTGCACACTACAGAGAATTCTGGGTAGGAGAAGTCCTAAGCTGTACACTCAGGTCATATGGAATAGTCAGGCTCATTAGATTTCACCCCACAACCCTACAAGAGAATGCATTCAATATTCCTCTGTGGCTGTGCATTGGGAGGATAGATCAGTGGTGAGTTGCAAGCTACCTTTTAGACAGCCCTGTTCATCATTCTCTTACCTTCTCAATGAGGAACCTCTGGTAAGCTCCCAAAGAACCACAGGGTTCTACAAACACTACTTACAAATCACAGCTTTAGGAGCAAGCACCAAAGGGACCTAAGAAGAATTCAAAATATCACATTAAAAAGAAACCCCAGATATGACACAATTAATGTAGAACTCATTTCATGCCAACAATGTGATAAGTTGTCAAGCTTTAGTTAGCCTGACATCATATATTAACAATGTTCTACAACCAGCAATTAAAATTCCATTTTTGCAAGACAGAGTGAAGACTACTTAGCCACGGTGACATTTCTTTAACCTCCACAGCAAGTCTCACACCTATTTCTTATCACTCACAATATGTCACTCTGTTATATGATCCCATAATAAAAGACAGCCTCCCTCCCACTCCATCATAAAATGTAATATGCACAGTGGGGGTAGAATTAAGTTTACCAAGGGAGCCTTAATTTTGAATTTCCTGGCTCTTGTGAGTTTAAGCCTCAGACCGATCACTGTATTAACATAGTTCTAATTGAGAGAAAGTTGAAGAAGGAAACAAAGTGTGCATGAAAAGTCTTTATTAGGGGTTGGATTTGCCAATGAACTGATTTTTTTTTCTTCCCTGAGCACTTTTCATTCCACATTTCCTATGCAGTTCAGAACTAATCCTCCATTTCTCCCAAGAAGTTTCCTACGCTTAAAATCTACTCGTCTCTCTAGTCTGGTGGAACAATATCAGGGGTTAAGAAATGATAAAATGTTCAGCTGTACTGCGTAGAGCAGAATATAAATTCCTCTTAAACACCTGACTTTGCAAGAACATGCTCAGGCTGTGTTCAAAACACACACACACACACACACACACACACACACACACACTGTTCTCCCAACCACATTTACTACTTTTCAGTAGCCATCATTCTAAAACCATTGTATCAGCTACAGTGGTACTTTGGGTTAAGAACTTAATTTGTTCTGGAGGCCCGTTCTTAACCTGAAACTGCTCTTAACCTGAGGTACCACTTTAGCTAATGGGGCTTCCCACTGCCACCACGCCATTTCTGTTCTCATCCTGAAGCAAAGTTCTTAACCTGAGGTACTACTTTCGGGTTAGCAGAGTTTGTAACCTGAAGCGTCTGTAACCCGAGGTACCACTGTAGTTACATTTTTACCCTTTTAAAATAATAGTTATGTTTCAAGTTTTAAAATAATAATAATGTTGTATTCAATTTTGTTTGCGTATCAATAATTGGCTTCTTTTTTATGATTATAGATGACTGCTAAAGAAGGAACTCGTGTTCCAAAATTGCAGTGAACTGCAGTAAATCTCCTGACACTTCTGAGAACAAGTTTCCCCTTCTTGCATTCTTTCTGGTTTCTGTGGCTCCTTCCTGGCTTGTGTACAGGCATGAGTTGTGAATCTGGAAGTTCCTGGTTAAAGTTTCACTTCAGCCTCAGGTGGCCATGTGCCCTACTTTACTGAGGACAGTCCTCTGTTCGAAAGGCTGTTGTAAGTCCATGCCCAGCTTAAAGATAGAGAGCCATAAGAAGGGAAAGCACAAGGGACTTTGAAGATGCCCACCAATAGTTAGAAGCCACTGGACAGTACCGGTCACAGTCTTGCTCTTTAAAGTGAGATGTGTCATGTTTCTGTTTAAATTTTAGTATTTTTGTTAAAATGTGTCTATACATAAAATAATATATAGTGTATGTAAATATATACCTTGTCTTGTTTAGGTTTTCTTTTTTTCTTTTTTTGGAGGGGCTGGGAAAGGTGATGTATTTCCTGTTTTTTGAGAATATATAAATGGTCACCCTACTTTAGCCATAAAGTCACCGATTTAAGCAAGTCACAAATCTTTGTATTTTTTTTAAGTCATAATTTGAAAAAAAATCGTAATAATAAGTCATAAAGGAAACAGTTTATAAGAAGTAAATAAGGAGGCCATGTACAGGATAAAGGAAGTCTTTTATTTTGTAATTTGTTTTATTTTATGTTATGCTTATATTATGTTATGTTCATGTCTAATGGCGGTGGATTCGTTTATTTGAGTTGGGGTGGATTTATGTAAATAATAATAATAATAATAATAACAATAATAATAATCAGTTCACAAATCTTTCAGCCACACCTCTCCACCCCACCCCTAGTTTCCACCAGTAGGGGGACATAATACTGGGCCACTTTACAAATGTAGGAATGACTGGAAATACACCTGAAATATCTGCACACTTGGCAAGTGTTATACAGTGGTACCTTGGGATGCGAACGGGATCCGTTCCGGAGCCCCTTCCCATCCAGAAGCAAACATAACTAGCGATGGCATGTCTGCGCACGTGCGCATCGCTTTTCGTCGCTTCTGCGCATGCGCATGATGTCATTTTGAGCATCTGCACATGCGCGAGCAGTGAAACCCGGAAGTAACACGCTCCATTACTTCTGGGTTGCCGCGGAGTGCAACTCGAACACGCTCAACATGAAGCATATTCAACCCGAGGTATAGGATGTGAGGAACTGATTCCAGACAGCAAGTCACATCCTGGTTCTCCCATTGCCACCAGTCAGTCACCTGACATCATGATGATGTCAGGTGAGACATCTGTCCTTTGTAGCATGGCTAGAAGGCATGCTTCAAAGGAAGATCCAAACAGATTCAAATGACGCTTGAAGTCAGTGCTGAGACAGCGGTGCTTTCAGCAGTGGTTGGTTGCATGACAGAGATCCCAATGGGGAACTTCATTGTGCAGTGGATCCCCAAGTGTCATCGCCAATCAGCTGGTCAGCAGGGCTGAAGGCAGAAGCAGATTTCCATTGTCAATGAAGTTGACTCTTTAGTCAAGGAACCAAACATACCTCGCCCTAGTAGTCTCAGCAACACTTCCCAGTAGATCTTGCACACATGGAGCAGTTTCTAGGACTGAAGGTCCCTGCCTTCCAAACCTCCTCTCTTGGATATTTCCCAAGCAGTCTCCTAGTGCATCCATCTACCTCTGGCCTCTGTTCTGCTCTTCTCGTTGCTCTGTGAGCTCTTGGAGACCAGGGGAGCTTGTTGCAGCAGGAGAGGAAGACTATGGATTCTTCAGCAGTCATTTGACACGCTGCCCCAGCTTCAGCTATCTTAAAATAGCTGAAAGACCATCTTGCAGAAGATGGAGATGAAGACTTGTTCTCTGCTGCTCTGGAGGGCATGACTATAAGTAATGGGTGTGTTCTAAACAAAATCTGCCCTTCTTCCCTTATGGGGTATCCAAGAGCCCGGAAAGAGTCCTTAAGTGGGTTCCCTATTGGTAGGAGAAAATAACAGAGGCCAACAAGATAATATTGAGAAGCAAAGCAGCTAGTAAGCCTGATCTTTATTAAAGCTGTTGCAATAGGGTGCTCCCCTCACACGCAGAAAGATGGAGGAGGACCCAGAACAAAGGTGTGCCCGCCCTTATATAGACATTTTTAATCGCCCGCCCTGGAGTCCAAGACCACCCCTCCATACATCATACCTACATCACAGAAAAGGAGGTCTACAACAGAAATTTGAATGTTGTTGTATTTCCTGTCTGCCAGGTTATCTGATAATGCCTTATCTGATTGCCTTTCCTGGTAGTCTGGCCATTCCTTTGAAATGGTGATTACCCAATTCCTGAGACAATGGGAAGGTTCCCTCACCCCCCCTCCCTCCTTGCAGAGAAAACATTTGGTCAGTTTGTGAGTCAAAATGGTTTCAGGACAGTCTTCCTGTGCTGCTCCAGACATTTGGTCCACATATCTATGTACGTGCTTGGTTGGTACATTTATGAACATTTATTATATATAGAAGACCTTAATTTTTTTATCACAGGTGGAAATGGCAGAGGAGCAGATGTCGGTTAAATAACAGGAGAAACTTTCTGATGCTCAGAGCTATTAGACAGTGGAACAGTAGGTGGTCTTTCGCTGGAGCTATTCAAGTAGAATGAAGATTACCACACGTTGGCGTTGCTCTCGTGTCCTCCTGCACTGTAGATGCTTTATTCACAAGGGGGTTGAACGATTCAACCTCCAATGTCCCTATGATTCTATGATCTTTAAGCATTTTCTTCACAACCAATATAGACAGAACACTCCACTTATTTTACAGGGGAGACATTACCCAGCTGGCCCTTTGACCCAGCTTTCAATGCTAGTTCTACAAAGCCAGGGGGGATTAGAAGACTGAATACCACTTTTCATGCAATATGAATGAAAGAAGCTTCACTGTTCAGATGCAAAGTCACTGCTGGCAAGCAGGTAAGGGCTCTAAGGATGACCGCTGTGTGTACTTTCAACTGCGAAATCAGTACATCACCCCTATTTGCGCAGAGATACGTCCATCTCTCCCAACACAAACCCTATTGAGAAAGGAATAACCACAAAGTTTGTTGTTATTCATTAAAAGATTGGTGTGTTAAGTCTTTGGCACTGGTGTAAACAAAGCCCTTTAACTATACTCCGCTGCACTGAGCAGGGCGAGCCAGCATGTCACCCAGAGGCTGAAAAGAAAAACAGTTTCAGTACAAGTCTATTTTATCTGATTATTTGGTTAAAGGATTAGAAACCGAACCGTTTACTTTTCCAGAGTCCCAGAAAAGTCACAGCTGCGAGACAAGGAAGCTTCCTCGTGCTGCCCTTCCTACGACCTCAGCGCTGACCTGCAAGGACCACCCTTATTAGAGGTGAGAGGTAATTCAGCCTCGACCCTCGCTTTGTCTGGGCCTCCCCTCAGCAGAAACCGTTGGCGTTTTATGAGGGGGATCGCATGTCAGGGAAGCACAGACCAGCGGCCTCCACATGAATTTTGACACAAAGATAGAAGGCCTGGATTTTCTCCTATGCCACCCAAGCCCTCTGTTCCATGCCCTTTTATAGAGGGGGAAACTACCACAACCTCTCTTCACTTTCACCTGGGGTCGGGAAAACAAGTGAAGAAAGAAGCAAACATTTCTGTAGGGTTGCTGTATTTCAAAAGTTGTTGAGCCTTTTCTTTTCTTTCTTTCTGTTTTGGAGGGGGCAAAGTTGTTGAGCCTTTTTGGCAAAATCTCCAAAAAAGAAGAAGTTTGGGAGCTATTTTTAAGGAAATTCACCAAAAAAATCAACACGTCCAACAAAGGTTGCCATATGCCCGGACATTTTTACCAACTTTCGGAAATTCCACCCAGACGCTATTTCTGACGGACGAATCTCGGTAATGTCCTGGAAATCCCAGACGTATGGCAGCCCTAGTTTCTGTAAATTTACCACAACAATTTTGCTTTCACAAAATTTACCAGCGTGCCCATCCTGGCAGCCATCTTATCACACTTTTAACCACACGCCTCCACTAAGCGTGGTCGCTTATGCATCACCGTGGCTGCACATGCAATTTGCAAATTCGCAAATATGCAAATATGTATATGTACAGCTGCAGATTTAGAGGGGGAAAATGCTAAAATTTAAATAAAATTGCGTAGTGTGGAAGGCTGTGACCAGTTGGCTCATGTGCTTACTCGGTTAGTTGCCAATGGACAATGTCAATGTTCCTTGCTCATGTTTCTTATGACCCTTCAAACAGAGGGCTGTCCTTTGTAAAATAGGCCACCCTATCTATACCTACCTACTACTACTACTACTACTACTACTACTAATAATAATAATAATAATTTATTTATACCCCGCCCACTCTGGGCGGCTCCCTACAGAATATTAAAATCACACTAAGACATCAAACATTAAAAACTTCCCTAAACAGGGTTGCCTTCAGATGTCTTCTAAAAGTCTGATAGTTGTTTATTTCTTTGACATCTGATGGGAGGGCGTTCCATAGGGCGGGCGCCACTACTGAGAAGGCCCCTCACTTCTTGCAGGGAGGGAACTGCCAGAAGGCCCTTGGAGCTGGACCTCAGTGTCCGGGCTGAAAATGGGGGTGGAGATGCTCCTTCAGGTATACTGGGGTGAGGCCGTTTGGGGCTTTAAAGGTCAGCACCAACATTTTGAATTGTGCTCGGAAACGTACTGGGAGCCAATGTAGGTCTTTCAGGACCGGTGTTATATGGTGTCGGGAGCCACTCCCAGTCACCAGTCTAGCTGCCGCATTCTGGATTACGTGATGAAATCCACCTGGGCAGGATTACACAGGTGACCAAGGATGAGGGGTTGTTTTTTTACTCCTACCGTAGTATGGCGGTCTAGATGGGCTCAATGTATATATTTAAGGTTGCCTTTGATTTAATGCCTATTGCATGGTAGTCTGCACCTCAACAGCAAAATCCCTTTAGTTACAGCATCAGCTCCTGCACTCTTTGGAAAATCTAAGCCTTTTTAGGAGCTGGTTGGTTTTTAAGGTCTTAGAAAGTCCTGCAGGGTTGCTTTAAACAGCAATGAAAGGCTGATTCAAGCTGTTAAATTTTATGTTGTGTGTAATGTTGTAATTGATGTCAAGCCTTTTGCGTATTCTTAACACTGGCACTGGGCAACATCTAGAACTGAAGGCGCTTGGTTTCAGGATTAGGTTGCAGAATCACAGGCCGGGTGGCAGAGTGGGAGTTTATTACCAAGATATGAAGTTAAAACACAGAATGATTAAGGCGTAGCCAAATATAGCCAATTTCCTTCCCATCCGTTTATTTTGGTGGCTTTCGGTATTTTGCTTCACACCGCTTCTCCCGTAAATGGATATAAAACTTTATTGCCCTTGTAAAAGGCAAGCTGTGTGAGTTCGGATGCTTCTGTGTGTTTGGGAGTACATAATTGTTCCTTTTTCGCAAAACTACACTCACCTGGGCCTTAGTAGAATGAGCAAAACAACTGCTCCACAAAAGGAGCCTGCCAGGGATGCATTGCATGTTAACATAATGGAGCACTGGCAGAGCGTGTTGAATTTGTCAACTTTCAAATTCCAAAAAAAATGAGCGGTGCTAAAAGTTGTAACATGACTTTGGAATTCAAAAAAAAAAATTTTTTTTTACTCAAATTAATATAATTTAGCATTTCTTGGTAAGTAAAATGTGTGTAAAATTACAGAAAAATCATTAAAAATGATTGTCAAGTACTTGAAATTATATACGGATGTCGATATTATTGTTGTTACTATTACTATTATTTACTTCTGACATTTTCAGAGGGCAAAATTAAAATTCTTTGGTTTTCTGAAAGGAGTTTATGTGCTTTTTCATCAAATGTAGACTTACCAAGCTAAATGTTGTCCAATCAAAAAATAATCACAGAATTCAGTTCCTCACACCCAAATACGTATTTTTAAGACCCCTCGCTGAAGAAATTTGCAAAACCCCTAAAACGACAAGCCCTAAATTGGAGCAGAAAACGCCCAAATTTACATAGGCCTCTCAGTTTCCCTTTCTCTAATAGACTGCTATTTGTTTATAAAGCAGCATCTATGCAAATAACGCTTTACAAAGCTTTATATATACCTCTCCTCACCCCCCTGTACACACTTGTAAAGATCTCAGGAATGAAATCATTTCCTAAATACATTTACAAATGCAGTATTATTCTAACTACAGTATTTTGAAAGAGGCTCTTACCCATTCTCTGGTCATTTCTCATCCAGACTACAGCAATTCCTCCTTGCCAGTCTCCCTTCCTGCTATTTCCCCCCTCTTCAGTTACATCAGAATGAATCTAAGGTTGCAATCCTATCTGCACCCTTACTGGGGAACAAGCACCTTTCAACATAGCAGGATTTGTTTAGAAGTAAATATGCATAGGATTGCCCTGTAAAGGTGTAGCTACACATTACACATAAAGACATGTCATTGAGCCTCAGGCCAATGTTCCTGTTCTCAGCTTTCAAACTCCTTGCCCCTTGGAATTGGCTGGTGCCGACATTTAGGCACCAAGTTGAATCACATTTTTTAAAAAAACATTTATTTATCATTTATTATTTATTTTAGAGCATTTCTAAACTGCTTAATATTTTTCCCCTTAAATCTCTACATGGTGTACCCTATCGACAATATAAAAGCGGTACCCATTAAAACTGAAATATACGCTAAAACTAATATATATAACAATATTGAAAACCCATTAAAAAAGGGTAAAGGACCCATGACAGTTATCCAGTTGTGAACGCTCATCTCGCTTTACTGGCCGAGGGACCCAACGTTTGTCCGCAGACAGTTTTTCTGGGTCATGTGGCCAGCATGACTAAGCCACTTCTGGCGAAACCAGAGCAGTGCATGGAAACACCATTTACCTTCCCGCCGGAGTGGTACCTATTTATCTACTTGCACTTTGATGTGCTTTCGAACTGCTAGGTTGGCAGGAGCAGGGACCGAGCAACAGCAGCTCACCCTGTCACGGGGATTCGAACCGCCAACCTTCTGATCAGCAAGCCCTAGGCTCAGTGGTTTAGACCACAGCGCCACCTGCATCCTGTAATAGTATATAAAACCCATAATAGTATATAAAAGCAAATAAAACAAGGGATTCACATGTAGGCTTCTGATGACTGCCAATGCTGCTGTGAGATGGTACATGTGTTATAGTTTTCGAGTATTTTTTATTAAGTGTAATTAGGCTCTTGTACATGCTCCCCCCCCTCCTTCACTTAAAATTACCTTCAGTTCTAATATTCTTATACTGGCTCCTTGTCAATGTCAATTTCATTAACTCTGTCCTGATTCAAATCATGCATTCACTGAATGCAGAGGTTGGTTGGAGGAGACCTCTTTCTGACCTCCATGTGCCCAGCTGAAGGTTAGTATAAAGCCTATCTATGCAGAATTGTCCACATGACATATAGGGTTCCTAATTGTGTGGAGAGGCCACAAAAGACCCCCTGTCCCCAGCGAATGTGTGAAGAGGACGCTTGTCGCTAATTTTAAGACTCTCTCCTTCTCGTCTATAAGTTTACAGCTTTTTCGTTGGGTGAGTTGGAAGACTGAATGGCATGTGCTCCTTCAAACATTCCCTGCTGATCATTCCTTCCTTTCAAAATGAACCACATTTTGCTACTTTTTTCTCATGCAGGGGAAAAGCAGCTTGGGGAAAATGATTTTGAGAGGAAAAAACAAGTGATAGGGAAAGAATTAAGCATCCCCTCTCCATCCACCTCCACTCCTCTCCTAACTGTAGCCTACCAAAGCTGCCTTTCATTAAGAAAATGTAGAGAATTGCATGGAAAACCCAGCATAACATGTATTTTTAACACAAACTGCCACGGTCGTAAATGAAGATACACTGGAAATTTTTGTTCTGCAAAAAAGAGACTTGTTGAGCAAGATAGTTTCTAAGAATGCAGTCCTATGGGAATAAGTTTCATTGACTAAAGTAAAATAGGATGCATGTCTGAATAACTATACATCTATAAGTGGTAACTCTAATGAACTTTCGCATAGTATTGTTTTGTTGTTGTCACTCATTTTGAAAAATCTGGCAATTCCTTGTGGAGTGATCTGAGTGGCATTTCCGATTCTTTCATGCATTCTGGAGAATTATTAGCTTTGCATAGAAAAATGTAGTTCCCCTTGCCTGAGCCATAGCATCTTAAAATATCAAAAGCAGCAGGAGGGACGTCCCACTGCAAACTAAATTGCTATCACACACAGTGGGAAGTGTGAAAAATGGGGAGGAGAAAGCCATATGGATGAAAGCAATCAGCTAATGTAGGATCAAAGATTTTTTCTTTTTCAAATGGCAAAACTAGGAAGAACAGAAATGTCACACAAAAATGTAACTATAGTTTAAAAAAACTTCATTGTATCATGACATTTTTAAAAAAAACACCAAACCAAACCAAACCAAACCACACATAGGGCAATTGCATTCAAAATATGTGTCTCTTTTCCTATCCAAAGCACTGTTGGGTTACCAAATCCATAACCTAGCGTTTTGTCCATGAAATACAACATATAGTATCTTCAATCTTATGATGTGAAGGTTGATCCAACCAAAGCTACTCCTGTCTATAAATATTTCTGAATTCTGCTCTTATCAGAATTTTATAAACCAGAAGTGGGGGAATCCCTGATGGAAAACCATTGGGGGGAACATTTCAGTAGCAGGAAAAGACAGATTCAAAAGTGGGTGGGGCCAGACCTACATAGAATCATACTCATGTACAGTATACACAATCAAATGTGTATTTACCATGTGCTCAGAAGCATATATTTAATTCTTAGAAGTTCCACTCAAGTTTCACCTTCCATTTTCTCTATAGACTTCTTCTTCTTCTCTTACAATGTGATGATGCAAAGGAACTCTCCAGCACTACTGTATCTTTCCTGACTGAGCAAAAAGCAGAATACAAAGAACGTCAACTGTCCAACAAGTCATTCAAAACCTCAAATTTCAAAATGCAATTGAATCCTCCCCAAAATTGCATGTATGCAATTCCAAAAGGCATGGAGTCACTAATATCAATAGAACATACTTGGAATCAAGTATTTATAGGACTGTAGCAACAGTCTTTGCAAAATATCAAGAGGATTTGAGTTAATTTAAAGGTTAATTGGTGTGTGCTGCAGGCTACAGAAATGGCCTTTGTCTTCACTTAATGAACAGAATCTGTGGGGTCCAATTGCCTATTACCAGAACCAAAGAAATGCATAACCACAGAAGAGGGCAAGATTTGCACAAAAATTGCATATGCTGATTTATATGTACAGGTGCAAATTTAGAATTAATTATTATCCTTTAAATACAAATACATCTCACTGTAGGGGGAAGACCAGGTGACCTATGTGTTTGCTCATTTGAGGTAGTAACTGTTGATGGGTAACTTCAAGGCCCCTGCTCTCCTTTCTTGTAAGTTCTTTCTCTTTAGTAGCCTCTGAAATACATGACAGTCTTCGATAAAGAGGACACATAGCTATCTTAACAGAACCCCATTGTTTAATGAAGACTTCCATGCAATGTTGTGCTAGCTATTAATTGAGGGGGTGGATAAATTGGATGAAATACTCTGAGCAACTGACAGGTCTTATTCTTCATACCTAAGGTAGCCACATGTTCCACTTACTTTGGTTTTCTTGCGAATTCCTTCGTGTAAACAAACTTTGTGTCCTTTTGCTGTATGCTTCAAAAGACCTGCAATTACAATTTTATAGCTCAGTGTTACAAGATGATGGTATCTCAAGAGAAGGTGACAGTAAGTTAACAGATAGGTCCCCAAGGGCGACTGGCCCAGACCTACAGACTCCCTTCTCCAAACAGAAAAGCAGGCACAATTAGCAACTTTCAAAATGATAAATTTCTTTGTTTCAGCAACCCAGCCTAATGCAATTGGATGGAATCCCTTTGCATCCACATTTTCTGCTAATTAACTCCTAGTGTTGGGACTGGTCAGGTAAGAGCTGCCAGCTCATTTAGAGGGCATTCCCTACAACAGCATGTAATAGTGATAAGTATAAAGAATTCAAAAATGAACCTATTATGAAAGGAATAAGCTTGAAATTAAAACGCAAGACTTTTTTTTAAAAATCAAAAGTTTATTTCCTTCAGCAATGTCTGTTGATATTAACTAAATCCCAATAGCAAACAAAGCCATGTATTGTATACATTTGATTAAAAAAAAATGTACACCTATTTCCTAAGCAAGGATAACTGGAATGTTTGAATAACAATACTGTATAAGAAAGGTGGCTCAATTAGTGTGAGAAAGGTAATCTATGAAATTAGAGCCCATTATATGCTTTTGTTTTCCATATACTTATGGTTTAGACGCACAATAATTTTGCAAGGGTTCACATGATTCAATGCTTCCCCCATTAAGGGGAAAAATTATGCACATAGAAACCTAGAACTTCAAGGAGACGTTTAGTCTAGAACTCTTCCTTCTTGACACACTACCTTTCTGTTTGCAAGGAATCTTTTGGTATGGTGGAACATTCACTCATGTAGCCCAGACATGGGTTTACCACTCTGTCTGCTGTTAATGAGAACCAGACCTTACAACCTTGACTGGTAGCAATTCAGGCTAAAAATAATTCTATGTAAATAGAATACAGGGAAGAGTTTGCTCTTCCAGAATCCTTTGATGACATTCCAGTTGGGAGTTCTAAAATACGATTTGCCATCCCTTTTAACATTTTTTTAAAGGATGTTCTATTCACCTCCTTTCCCACAAGGTGCTAATTTTAATTTGAATAAACTTAAAATGCATACACGCCCTATTTTAAGGAGTAACAATAGCCCTATTCACCTGAATGCAGGTGAGCTAAAAGTGTGGAGGGGGGAGGAGCACACAGACAAGCCCTACACTGAATTTCCTGGCACATGCTAGCTCTGCTTCAGATCTTGAGAGGTAAGATTTGAATTCTAAACCCTTTCAGGTAAGTACAATTAGAATCCCAATTGCATTGGGGACCCTGATACAGGCCCAGGATCTTTATTATGAGGAGGATGCTGAACATATTCAGATGAATCAGCTCACAATCTCCCTTCAGGCCTCCCCTCTCAACTTGGGAAGGAATGGAGTTAGGCCAGCATATTCAGTGATACTGGGGGTGGGGTTTGCATGTTATAATAATAATAATAATAATAATAATAATAATAATAATAATTTATTTATGCCCCGCCTACTCTGGGCGGCTCCCAACAGAATATTAAAAACACAATAAAACATCAAACATTAAAAACTTCCCTAAACAGGGCTGCCTTCAGATGTCTTCTAAAAGTCAGATAGTTGTTTGTTTGAATGAATGAATGAATCTTTATTTGCGTCAGCCATCGATCATAGCAATAAAACAACAATACAATATACAAAGTATATAAAATACATTTTAGGGTTTTGAATCAGTAATCAAATAGTGGATCTTATTCTGATTGCCCCAGCTAAAAACCTTGCAACCTTTGCTGTCACCTGCTCTTCTTGATCTGCCAAGAGAAAGGACACGGTGGCAGTGGTTGGGCGATCCGGAATGAACAATAAAAGAGGGGTGATAATCTCATTCCTCAAGTCTTTATAAAGAGTGCAAGCCAGAAGGGCATGCGCCACCGATTCGGTACTGCCATCTCCACAGGGGAATAAGCGTTTTTCGTGTGGAATCTGTTGGAATCATCCCTCAAGTACAGCCGAGGGCAGTACATTCAATCTTACGAGAGTAAAAGTGTGTCTATGTTTTAGAATTGCTAGGTTACGCAGATAGGGTGCCAGAGAGTCAAAATGGGAAGGTGGAAAATAATCATACCATGGGCAAAATTTCCTTATTGTGGCCAAATTGTTCTGATGCTCGATATCATTGAGGCGCTGACAAATTAAACTGTTTGCTTTACCAAAACCCAAAGTGAGTAGCTGTTGTGATACACCACAAGAGTGAAGTTTTTGATAGACAATTTTAGTCCAGGAGCTCTTGTGACAATCTTGCAGCACTAGAGATATTAGACCGGGGGGATTTGAGTTTAGACGAAGCCAATAGTTAAGTGTCCTACGCCAGATCCATAATTCTACTGATGGAGGATTATCCTCTAGGCGCAATGATGCATTTGAGACACAGGGTGGTACAGAGAAATTTTGCCTTAAGAACTTTGATTGGACAACTTCCATCGATCCAAGGTGAGTGCCTGTCCAAATCTGAGCCCCATATAATAATTGTGCTAGGGGTTTAGCTTGGAATCAGATAGTTGTTTTGTTCCTTGACAACTGATAGGAGGGAATTCCACAGAGCGGGCGCCACTACCATGGAGGCCCTCTGCCTGGTTCTCTGTAACCTCACTTCTCGCAGTGAGGGAACCGCCAGAAGGCCCTCGGAGCTGGACCTCAGTGTCTGGGCAGAACGATAGGGGTGGAGACACTCCTTCAGGTATACTGTACCTGCCCTCTCTGCACATTTGGCAAAACATCAGAACAGGGCTAATGTCAAGTCAGCTTCAACATAAGACATGAATTGCATTCAGACATCATATTTCCGATCCTCCTACCCATGATCCTTCAACCCATTTTCTCCTTTCTTCGTGTACATGGAGAAGTTCGTGGTTTGATCAAACCATAATATCCTGTTACATCCATACTGGCAAGCTATGGTTTGAATAAGCCCTTCAGAGTAAGATTGTAAACTACAGTTGAGTGTGGTCTTGCAGCCCTGGCTTGGAAGACTCTTCATCTTCTCCAGTACTTGCATATGGTGGGAAGAGCACCATGCCAAGAGATAATAAGCCATAATGCATTGGCAAAGCTGCTTATCTTGTTTGCACACCACTTACGTTGACCCCATCCAAGAAGGATCTGTTGTGTTCCTTTGCAGTATGCTACAGCAGGAAGTCTAGCTGAAGTAATGAGATGCCATTTGGCCGAAAAGCCAGACAAACATCAAAAAGGTTGGCAGCATGTGCCCAATTTACATTAAAGATTTAAAAAAAAAAAAAACCAGAGAGAGCAAGAGAGAGCAGACCACCTTGTTTAGAAATTGGCTGAATGGCAACTCCAATTCTCCTTGATCACACTTTTTTTGCCTTTACTTAGTAACATAATGCTCTGTTTAGCAAATGTATATATATAGAAGAGGTAGCGCATATGAAACAGAAAAATGTTCTACTGAATGCTTAAGTCACATTTTGACGAAGTAGTCGCATTGAGGGAGTGAAAGTGAGCTGAAATTCCGTTTCAGAACAAGTCTTACCAATTCAGCATTGCACCACCAAGTTCTCTCCAAAATGAAATTAGAGAACCCTAAAGTGAGATTGGTAGCTCTTGGTCATAAAGATATCATGCTTGGCCCATCTTACATTTGTAAAACAGCAAGAAATAAGCACAAATTCAGTTTAAGAATGTGACAAGTAATAAATGCTACTTCAAATGAACACTGATCAGAACGGCATTGATAATGGCAACGTTTGTGATTTTTCCAGTTTTATGTTTACAGAATTTCCACTGCAAGTGAGGATGAATGGACTCATCGGCCTGGTTTGCTAGAAACAAACTAACAAGGAGCTATTGGGTTGTTGTTGTTATTTTTATTGTGTATTTTGTGGTTTTATATCTTGATTTTATTTTGTGAACCACCCTGAGACCCCCAAGTATAGGGCAGTAGTAGTAGTAGTAGTAGAAGAAGAAGAAGAAGAAGAAGAAGAAACAGTGTACTGGTGTATGGTGCTGACAGTTCTCACTGTAGTCTTTTCCTTCTTCTTCTGCACCTCAATGAGACAAGCCAGAGTCCAACTCGTGGTGTGTGAAGCCAGGTTCATCATTTGCTTCTTTCCAAACAAAATACAAGGTTTGTTCTTGGATTGATTGGAGGAAACAAACCATGATCGCAGGTTCAGACATCATGATAAGCCAGCTGCTGGCTTGATTCCTGGCAGTACAGCATGAGCACTGGAAGACCACCACAAGAACTTTTCAGCACCATGCTGCTCATTCACAGTAAACCATGGTTTGTTTTTAACTGTTGTTTAATGCAACACATGAACCAGGAAATTCAGCTAAGTTTGGGGGTCAAAGAAGAAGAGAAAGAAATGGAGAAACTGAGAAAATGTGTTGGATCCCCAGTGCAGATCCCCAGAATGTTCCTAGAGGAAAGGCGAAGACAGTTTCTCCTGATTCCATTTGTTCTTCACCCTCTAGAACTGTACAGGAGGCAGTTTGTTTATTTACACTGTGTTGGAGCTGGACCACAATTTTAAAAATTACAATAAAGGAAAGCATTTTTTTGCCATCTAGAGAGAGGATGTTACTTTCATAAATGGTTTCATTCGAAAATTGTATGTTGGTACTCAACAGCAAAAGTAGGGGATCAATGGAATAATGTAGGCAGCAATGATGAGTGAGGGATAAAGAGCAAATTCCATTTTGAATTTCACAATGCTCTTTTCTTGATAGAGGACAGCCATAGCAGAAAACCCAAATCACTAGAATAGAAGTTTAGGAATCCATCATTCCTAATTAAAATTCCACACAAAATAATGTTGATGCACCTAGGTGGCCAGATTTTAAAAAGAGACATGCAAACCAAAAACTGAAGCAAAATGTATTTGTTCAGCATTTTGAATGAAAAATGGAAATCAAAAGTGGGAGACTGGCAATTCACAAACTCCGGTCATTGGGAACCTGAAAATCTAGAGCCAAATGTGTACAGAGAGGATCTCATATGAATTCCTGTACACCAGGCTTCTCTCAAAGAATCTTGGGAACTGTAGATGAGTGAGGATGCTGAGAATGAGAAATTATTGGTTCCCTTCAAAATGTTTCAGTTCCCAAGGTTCCTGGGGCGGGGGGGGGGGGTAACTATTAAAACTGGTTTAAATCTACATCCTTAAGGCATACAATCCCCCTTTATTCTCTTCACTCTAAGAAGAGGTCAAATGAAGCTGAAATTCATAGCATTTACAGTTGTGTTACTGGCCTGTTTGTGACATTATAGCCTTACGAATGCTTTCCTGAAAACCAATGATACAAAAATTCCCCTTTTCAGTTTGGAATTCAAAAATTATGCTTGGTTTTTATATAACACAATACACTATATTCTCTGTATTCTGCTGTTGTTATAACTATGCAGAACTTACAGTCCTGCCATATCTAAGGCAAAAATGCATCCACTTGAAGCTATGCATACAAGCTATGAAGTTATGAAAGCTGCTGACTCCTGTGAGTCTATTCTATATTTGAACTTGAACTCTTGACTCATTCTTAGCCCTTCTTCATCCACCCGAGTGACGATGAGCACACAAAAATCCTGACTTTGTAGATCTTGGTGATTTTCCAAATGACAAACTTGCACAAAAAGATGCATGTCAAAACGGTTAGTGTTCAGTCATATAATACTAAATATTAAAGCCATGTATCTCCAAGTGAACATCTGCAAAGTATTTTCAATGGCCAGAATAAATTCTTATATGTTTCTGATTAGCAATTAGCGATTTAGAAAAGCCAAAAGGGCCCCAGGAAGTTTTTGTAATAGTGATTTAAACAAACACACACAAGGACGCATGCATACACACCAGGATTGTGGTTGGACATGAGAGGAAAAAATGAAGGGAACAGTGAGACTCTACACCAGGGGTCAGCAACCTTTTTCAGCCGTGGGCCAGTCCACCATCCCTCAGACCATGTGGTGGGCCGGGCTATATTTTTCCCCGGGGAGGGGGAATGAACGAATTCCTATGCCCCACAAATAACCCAGAGATGCATTTTAAATAAAAGCACACATTCTACTCATGTAAAAACACCAGGCAGACCGCACAAATAACCCAGAGATACATTTTAAATACAAGGGCACAGTCTACTCATGTAAAAACACGCTGATTCCCTGACCGTCTGCGAGCCGGATTGAGAAGGTGATTGGGCCGCATTCAGCCCACGGACCTTAGGTTGCCTACCCCTGCTCTACACCCTGAATCAGGAAAGAATCTGTCCGTGGAAATGTTTCACTTCTGGATTTTCTTGCACTTCAGCAAGAAGTTGTTTGGTTTTTAAAAGCTGCTGCTGATGAACTGTTGTTAGTCAAGGTTCAGGGTCTGGGTCTTTATTCAGCTAATTGTTTCTAAATATTTACAGAGTGTAGTTTCATAAAAATATAGTAACATACAAAATGACAATAAAAATGCCACACACAAAAAATCAGTAAATAAATGAGGAAGGCCAATTTTGGCTGCAGGAGTGGTCTGTAAAATATGCCATACATAAAATAACCAAATAACACATTCAGGGCCTACATTTAGGATCGTTTTACACACACAGTATCCTCAGATAGCTTCAGTACCGCAAAAACAAACAAACAAACCTAAAACAGTAACACCTCCCTGATTGACAAAGCAATAGAAACTTCAGAGAGAAGTTTCACTGTGTTCACTCATGTGAAGAATATATCCTCTACATGGACTGCTGCTTCATTTTGAAACTGCAAAAGTACTGTAGGGCGCACGCAGAAAAGTCCGCTGAAAATATTCGGAGAAGGACAGGGCAGCATCAAGCTGTCCTTGAAGCACACGTGTGTGCACAAGACAAGAGACGGGTGAAGGCTGGGTGCATTGTCAAAGCTGTTTTCTTAACCTCTGGAACTCAGGTCTCAGATATACTTGCCTCCACCCTCACCCCTCCAACGTCTCCCAGTGTGCTGTGCAGTGTCAGCCAAAACACCCAAAAGCCTGAGTAAAAACAGCTCTCTGTTGAAGGAGGGAGCAGGGTGGAGCAGAGAATTTGGCTTCTATGCGATTTTTTTTTGTCGCATTCCAAGAAAGCCAGTGACAACAGTTAGCGTGCGCAGCCAAGGAAACATAATCTGAACCATTGCTTATCAATTAAGATCTAAACCCCGAGTCCTGGATCCTTCGAAAGCTGTTATCTAGCTGTTCAGTGGCTTTGGGGAGACCAGTTGATGCCCTCCGTCTGGATCCTGACAGACAACAATGCAAGCTATCGCGCCATATGGTCTTAATTAGTTGTCTAAACAAAAGCGTATGTATGACATTGTTACGAGGGGCAGGCTCGCCTCTCAGGGTGCAATCCGCCTACAGTAAGGTCAATGAGCATTTCGTCACTGAGTTTAATGGAAGGTGGATCTCACCCTCAGTATTCTGGCTTGCTCCTTTTATTCCTGGCCAGAATCATAAGATGAGACAATGTCAAGTTTTTTTCTTGGGTTGGGCTAAATAAAGGGATTAGCTGCTAACCGGATGACAGGTTTGTTAATTTAGTTTCATCTCACCTTCATTGATGCTCTTATACAGGAGAGAAATAATAAAAATAATATAATAATAGTTTATTATTTATACCCCGCCCAGCTGGCTGGGTTTCCCCAGCCACTCTGGGCAGCTCCCAACAGAATATTAAAAACACGATAAAACATCAAACATTAAAAACTTCCCTAAACAAGGCTGCATTCAGATGTCTTCCAAAAGTCAGATAGTTGTTTATTGCCTTGACATCTGATGGGAGGGCGTTCCACAGGGCAAGCACCACTACCGAGAAGGCCCTCTGCCTTAAATAAATAACACTTCCGTGTGATCACTAAAATCAAGTTAGCCAAGATCTAGTTCTCTTACCACTCAAATGACCCATTATTGTTGGATGGGTATGAAGGTAGCTTTGCTACAGGGGATGGACTCAGATCATCTCAAGGTAGCACAGCTGTTTGCCATGTTTCTTTCCTAAAGGTGAAGGGGGGGTTGTGAAATTATAGGTAGTTGCTGCAGCAGAGGGGAACTTACTGGTGGCCTTTATTCCAAATTAGATGGATAGATGATAGATAGATAGATAGATAGATAGATAGATAGATAGATAGATGATATAGATAGATGAATGAGTCCTTGCTCAGCCATAAAAAATGTAAAATAAAAAGGTAATTTGAAAGACAGGTTTCATAATGTTGGGAAGCATTTATCAGTTGTCACCACTAGTGAAATGTTTCTGGGGAATGGCCCCATAGTGTGGAGTGAAGGCACATGAGGTGACTACCTTGCTGAAGCTAAGCAGGTCTGGGTCTGGTTAGTCCTCGGATGGGTGACCACTTGGGAATCATATGTATGGTGCCTTGGAAAGAAAGGTGGAATATGAATGTAAGAAAATGTTCAAGACCCAGCCTATGTTTTGTGATTGCATTTTCATGACTGTTTGTTTTTTAAACTGTCTTTAATGTTGTATTTTAAATTGCTGCAACCCACACTGGGTCAACAACAACAACATAATAATAATACAGAACTACAAACTGCAGTTGAGTGAGCTGTGAGAGTTTTGGCACCCTTCTCTTAGAAAATGTGGCTACCCACACATCCCAGCAAAAATATATAAATATGGAGAGTGTTGTTAACACACAACAATACTTTGTACCCACTTCAATTCCCCACATGAAAAATGCAGCTTCTGGAATGTTCCTTATCACTTACTGAAGCAATCTGAAGAGAATTATAGCACTTGAGGTTCCTTACACATACAAGAGAGAGGAACAAAATTAATGGCATATTAAATATTTGCTTAGAAATGGAACCAATGTAATTTCCCCTCTCATTTTCACAGTACGTTTTGGAGTTCTCACATAGATAAATGGCCGCTGGAAGAAATCCCACGGCATAGAATCAATCTTCATTCTTAGGCTTTCTTTGGGTTGGCTGCTCTGATAGGAGCGGCAGCAAGATAAATGTTCCACTAAAACATTCTTGCCATAGGAACAATGTAGCACAAGCAATATCAAGTCCATCATCAGCAGTGAACTTGCCTTCCTGAATAGCCTGCGACGAGACAGTTCAGAGGAAGGAAAAATTCATTTCGACAGAGCAGTAGCTCTCTTCATATTTTCTTATAACTGCCATGTGAAATTAAGCTGTTACGGTGAGCAGGGGTGCAAAAGGAGTTTCTGGCTCCAGTACACTACTTGTATATTGGGCACTGTGCCCCATCCACAATAGAGGAAACAATTTTGCATAAAATCTACACATGTGGAATTTGTGGGTACAAATTTGTAAGTAATTTCTAGGCCAATTACCCCGTGGGGAATCTTAAAAGGCTTATAGTATTTATTAACAAAAATGTTGTAATTATAATTAATGCAAAATAAGAATAGTTATGAATGTAATATTTTTTATCAGTGTGTAAAAGGGAAAGGTGAAAGTTTCAGCTCTAGACGAATCCTAATTATTAATTCACATGAAGTTTGCTCATTGTCAGTTGAGTCTTAGTGGTTCACAGTTAGACAGGTCAGTTTATGTTCCAGGCAGGAAAATTCAAAAGGTCAAGTTTCGATAGGCCAATTCTAGTGACTTTTATTAGTCCATGGCTATAGGCTGGTAGGTATGGAGATAATTGAAAGTCATTGGTCAGAAGGGTTCTGAGAAACTGCATATAACGGCAGTCATAGCATTGTCAGTATGGTCTGGTGGTTAGCAGAGACAGCAGAAAAAAAAGCAGCCTAAGAAGAAGCTGAAGAAGATCAGAATCGTGCAACAAACTCACATTTCATTAACTGTAAACCAGTTTTGTTGCTGCCTTTCATGAATTGTATTTAAGCTGGCAAAAGGCCAGCAGTGATCCTTCGGAAGGGTGCGTGGAAAAAAATCTAAGATTTACAATCACCAAAGCCCATGCTTAGATAAATTCAGAATTAAATTGTTGAAAGCAAGCACTGTATTCAGTGCTTATGTAAAGCCTGTGTCGTTTATATCTCAAAATAACTTTAGCAATGTTACCAAACAGGTCAAACAGCTATTCTTCCCCACTCACCTTTGGCGAGGGGGGGGAGTGCAAAAGATTTGAGCCTTTGACATGGTTATACCCATTTAAGCCACCCACGAGAGACCTGCTATTTTTTCCTCATGGGTACAAAAGCAATTAATTGACCCCTTTCCCCACGATATTGCCATGGGCAACAGCTCTCTAAATTGCATTTCCCTGAAAGAAAAAAAGAAAAAGCCCAGTACAGATAGCAATATTAGGACTGTCCTTAGGACAGTCAATAGTGGATGGTGGCAGTTTGCTAATCTCCTGGCAGGTGAGTCACTGCTGCTTATTGAGAGGGAGAGGGAGGGAGGCAGGGAAGCAGGAAGTTCAGCATTGTGCAAACGCACCAGTGGAGCTAATATGATGTTCCTGCCAGTGTGTTTACACTGCACCAACTTTCCTGCCTCCTTACACCTCCCGCTCACTGCTGGGAGGTCAGCCAAGAACTGCCGCCCCACAGTCCTGTACTGGACAAACTTTGAGTCACTCACTTATGACTTCTCTGCTGGGGATTATCATTGTGGCAATCTTTATAAATTGCAAATTTGTAAGCATTTTTGTTAAAGAGTCCTAGTAGGCCCTCGATTCAATATTAAAGATATGTGCCCTGTTTATAGGAAGATTTCACATTGATTCATCTCTGAGTCATTTGGTCTTATTTCTGTCAGAATCCCCTGACTGATTGTATGTTTATATTTTGTGTTTATTGCTTAGAAAAGCCCCAAACACGCTTCTTCTTTTCCATTTCTGAGAACAAATTTCAGCAACTATCAACGCATCAGGCACCCTCCTGCCTCTTCTAATGGGTCGAAGCTGTAGAACCCTATGACTCATTGGTTTTAATGGAGTGCATGTTTCAACATTGTAATCCAAATCCATACAAGGTCCTCTGGATTAATGTCAGCAAAATAAATCTTCTTACAAAGATTTATGCCAAATGTTCGCTTTCACTCGATAGTCCCTTAGGCTTGTTGGCCTGTCAAATGTGTGACCCTAGAAATATAATTGAGCGTTAAAGGTCCCGTGTCAATTCTGCTAGTACCATCTATAGGACAGAAACTGTCACCCTCAGCACATTCAGAATAGGGCATGGAGCCATACATTCCAGGTATGGAAGCTCATGCCTTTAGTCTTAAGTGCACAAACAGAAAACCTTTGATAAGGGCATTGCATCAAGAGATCGCTTTCTGGCAGACAGATTGTAGAGCAATGTTGCCAGACTAACAATCTGAGTCAGCACTGGCCTAATTGTTTCATTTGAGATCCAGTCATTATTGCTGCGTGGACACGGTTCAATAACAGAGGTGAATGGAGGGACATAAATGAATTTTCTTCAAAAAATCCTCTAACATTATGTGCAACAAACTGGGATGAGCTGTTCCTACCCAGTAACCCAGTTAAGAATATCTAGGTTCCTCATTATTAGTGAGTGAGCTTTGCTTATGGTTTAGCCAAACTTATGGTTTAGCCATAAGTTTGGCTAAACCATAAGCAAGCATCTTTTAAAATTTATTTCCACTCTATGTTATTCTGCACCTTACATTAGTGAGAAGTGAGGTGTTTAACAGCCCAGTCCTGTAGTATTAGGATGACATACAATGCTTCAGGTTGAAGGAAGGAGGAGTGGGGATTGGGCGATACTGTTGAATTTTAAAAAAACAAACATGCTACCACTACCAAGAGGTTAGCCATATTAGTTGGCTGCCACAAAAAGAGCAGCGAGTCTTGTGGCATCTTAAGGCTAACAATTTGAATGTGCCGTACGTTTTGGTGGGCCACAATCCACTGCATCAGAAGCATGGTCTATCCTTAGTTAGGACCAGGGGTGGAGGAGAAATTTGATTCCATTTGCGCATTTAAAGACAATTCACACTTTCTGGGGGGGAAATATGCAAACCAAAACCAATCCTTCAAAATTCACACATTTCTGAATTTTGCTATTTGTACATCAGTTCTCTAGACAAGTAACATATACAGAAATACATATACCTGGGCAAAGGGTGCATAAAGATTAGTGAAAATGACACAGGGATTTTTTTTATTTTTGTGTGTGTGTATATAGTTTATTAAATTTTATTTATTTATTTATTTATTTATTTATTTATTAAGTTTGCAGCATAAAAGCACAAAACAACATAATAACAAACAAAACAATACACCCCACAAAGTTTAAAAGGCCATAGATTGTTTTGTCAAATATCTGGAAGAAGAGGAAAGTCTTCGCCTGCATCTAAAGACCTGCAATGAAGGTGACAGGACAGCCTTTCCTTTGCAAAAAAATGCATATAATAGGCAAATGGCATACAAAAAATGTGTATATTATGAGAAATTCACACTGAAATGCTTGTATGCTATTTTCTTGAATAAAAAAGTTGACTTTACTTTGAGTTTCTGAGTCTCTGTTCTGACCTGCCTATGACCCAGCCCTGACACACATCATCCCAGAGAAGCCTGTATGTGATGTCAGTGTGGTGTAGTGGTTAAGAGCAGTATATTCGTAATCTGGTGAACCGGGTTTGCGTCCCCGCTCCTCCACATGCAGCTGCTTGGTGACCTTGGGCTAGTCACACTTCTCTGAAGTCTCTCAGCCTCACTCACCTCACAGAATGTTGGTTGTGGGGGAGGAAGGGAAAGGAGAATGTTAGCCGCTTTGAGACTCCCTCGGGTAGTGATAAAGCGGGATATCACATCCAAACTCTTCTTCTTCTTTTCTGAGAGCAGTTCTGCAAATGCAAGCCACTTTTAAAATGAATTAGTTCTGGCTATTTACGGTAAATTGTAGCAGCTAAAGCCAATATACAGAGTCTCTATTGCAAATAGTTTTAATGTCACATATAAAAACTATAATTAAATAGTAAATAGATTTATAATTTATAGTTAACCAGATTGGTTTCTCTTCAATGCAGAGTTTTTAAAAGCTTAGAGCCTTTAAATCTAGCAATCTTAATGCAGAACATCAGTTTTCAGGAACTGATAGGTAACACAATATTTTTCATATTTTCAGCAGAACAAAGACTGATGGGATCCTGCTCTGAAGCACTATTGCCTTTGCTTCATCACATGCTCTTAACTCTTACTGGCAAAGTTCTGTTTTTCTGGGCTTGCGATAAATTGACTATCTTTCTCTCCTGTTCTGATAACATGATTTTTGATCTGAGCGAAACATTTGCTTTGATATTGTTGGACTAGCTGTTGGTTATTAAATAAAAATAACCAAAAGGCATATCTTTCTTGGTACTAGGATATTCGCTGGAGAGACTTCTTTTATGGAATCTTCTGCATTGTTAAGGTTAGAGCCTTATCCCTCCTCTGAAATCAGTTCAGCAATAAAAAGTGATGATTAGCTGCACTAACCTTTGTATTTTCCTTCTCCCTGATGAGAGCTATAGATGCCTTTTATTGGTTGATTTTTCTAACACCGCTTTGAAAGCACATTTGAGGCTACAATATTAACAAGGAGGCTCTCAAGCCAATCTCATAAATCATGTGTTGCTGAACACCTGTGTGTGTGTGTGTGTGTGTGTGTGTGTGTGTGTGAAACCATGATTTAAAATACATTTCTCCTTCAACACCTCCCTCCCCAAATTATTCTATCAACATGACTGCCAAAACACACCTCTATTTTATAGCGATTCTACAATTATCACAGTGGAGGAGTGTTAAGAGTGTATTTTTTTCCAACAGCAACAGCTATATGATCACCATGGACCAATGGAAGAATAGTGATTATTTTAGTTGTTCTGATGTCACCGAGGGCCTATGCAGGGGACGCAAGGCAGATCAATGCTGAAAGAGACCAGAGATACCTTAGAACGTGTGATGTAGTGGTTAAGAGCAATAGACTCGTAATCTGGTGAACAGGGTTCGCATCTCCACTCCTCCACATGCAGCTGCTGGGTGACCTTGAGCTAGTCAGACTTCTCTGAAGTCTCTCAGCCTCACTCACTTCACAGAGTGTTTGCTGTGGTGGAGGAAGGGAAAGGAGGTTGTTAGCCGCTTTGAGACTCCTTTGGGTAGTGATAAAGCGGGATATCAAATTCAAACTCTTCTTCTTCTTCTTCTTCTTCTTCTTCTTCTACCCTCCAAATGTTTTGGACTATGATTCCTATTGTCCATGACCATTTCTGCCTTAGGTTTGAAGATCTACGAACATTTGGTAAATGGAAATCTGCATATTTCTTGCAAGCCCTGATATCTTTTAGGTTACAATTTGCTTAGCCAGTTACAGAGCCTTTTTGAGAAAAGCAGGTGGGGAGATTGAATTTACTGCTTTTTATGAGATTTCCTGGTTTCTCGTGACAATCGAGTTGTTTTATCATAGTTCTATATTTTTAAATTTCTTGTAAAGTTTTTCACCCTAACATTTCATCACATTGAAATTCACAATCCAGTGTCTCACTCTTCAGCTTGTTGGAGGGAACAATCCAGCCCTCCCCCCCCCCATTCTTGGGCTTCTCCTGGTCATCCAGAGTAAATTTAGGTGAGGTGTGGTGGGCACATGGAGGGAGGAAATAGAGGAAAGCCCCATTATGTATCACCAGTGGGCATTCCGGAAGCATTTTCCATGTTTTTGCCCCAAAGTGATCTTAAGAGTTTCACAGGAAATATCAGAGTAATACGCCTATGCAGGTTTGTCATTGTGTCTTCTAGTGACCTTTCTTTTGGAAACTCTTAAGATATTTATAAAAAGGCATTGGTGGAGGGGAGGCATTTTCAGCTATTTTTGTGAAGATTGACCATTAATATAGCTTATAATGAATGCAGTAGAAAATGAGAGATGCATACATGAGAGATGCATACATTAAATGAAGTATCCCCCTGGGGTCTTTTATAAGAAACAGAATATGTTCTCTGTTTGCTAGCTGCCAATCCTGCTCATCCATTTGACTTGCACTTGACCTGAAAACAGGCTATATTTCAACATGGAGCAGGAAATTGCTCCTTAATCACTCTGGGATCTTTCCTGATATTTAAGATTACATCAATAGCAGGTTATTCTGGTCTCCTCTTCCCTGGCTTCCTTTCTTTAGGACAATTGGTGATCATATTTGAGAATAATTAACTATGTTGGCCTTCATGATTAAGCACCTTGGCCTGATTTCAGACATTACATACACCCTGCGGCCGCATAACGCTAATTTCAGATAAGAGGTCCAAAGAGATATCACAGAACCTCTTATGAACGATACATATAGGAAAAATTCCCAAGGAACATGGCATAACAAAGCTTCCTTGAATGCCTTGGCTATTGTTGCTGCCATCTTGAATCACTGCAATCCATTATTCCTGGTAGCCAGAGTAGATAGATAGATAAACTTTATTTGCATTAGCCAACGGCCATAGCAACATAAAACAAGCAATATATACAATTAAAAAGACAACAATGGGTAAAAAGGACAATCAGATGACAAAGATAATCATTCAGATAGTGGTCTTTAATCTCACTGCACCCTCGATAAACCGGACAACCTTTGCTGTCATTTTGATCTGATAAAAGAAAGAACAATGTGGCCACAGATGGGCGGCCTGGGATGGTAAGGAAGAGTGGGGTGATGATCTCATTCCTCAGATCTTTATAAAGGGGACAGGACAGGAGAACATGAGCCACTGTTTCCAGATTGCCATCTCCACATGGGCAGAGTCGTTTCTCAGTTGGAATCTTTTGGTATCTGCCCTCAAGTACGGCAGAGGGCATCACATCCAATCTGGCCAGTGTGAAGGCACGTCTGTATACAAATATGGTGCCAGGGAATCAAACCGAGAAGGCGGAGAAAAGGCATACCAAGGACAGAGTTTCTTTATAATGGCCAGATTGTTCTATTGCTGTAAGTCCTTCAGACGCTGTCCAATTGGTAGCCAGAGTAAGTGCACTAAAAACTCCAAGGGCATTAGTATCAGGACCAGCCCAGAACATTTTACTACCCGAGGTAGAGCAAAAATGATGCTTCTCCTCCCCCTGACAACTCACAAGACCAAGTTATTTTGAATGCCTGAGGCAGGAAATCCCAAAATTGTCTCCATACCTACCTGGCAGTAGGGATGGATAATGAATTCATTCAGTCTGCATTTTAAAGGAAGCTGGCCAAGTCTGCCATCCTCAAACTTATATGCAGATGAAAACGCAGCTATCAAGTGGGTTATAAATTTCCTCAAAATTTTCAATGCCATTTCAATTCAAAAAATTTGCAGAGAAATCCATATTTTGTTGGGGAAATATGTACAGAAATAACATGTACAAAAATGCATATTTTAGGGTCACAAACTTTTTTTACGTTTCCCCTTTTTTAAAAAATCCTAAAAATGGGACAGAATGGACTCATGGTGAATGAGTAAATGTGAAACTGGCATGGAACAGAAATAAATAAATGAAGTTAAATTATAAATTACATTTGCTTTCTTTTCATGACTCCTGCCTGCCTAAACGTAGTAGAAGGTTTCACCACAATTTTTGATATGGTCTGCTCTCAATTGTCCAGACCCTTCTGTACGGTGGTCAGTAGAAATTCAAAGTAAGAAACCAAGAAAAGCAGAACAGCTACAAACCAATGGCATGCTATTATTCAAAAGAGGAACAATTGTAGGACTACTTGATAGATAAAACTTGAGGTCATTGCAAAGCCGAGACCGTTCTAAAAATACGTACCCCAGGAAAAAACCAAAGACTTTTAAGAATACAGAGCACACTGACAAAATCATGGTGTTTGGTTGAAAAATACTAGCTACAGTTGAACATTCTTTTAACATTAGGACTACTAAGGGAGGACAGAGAAACCAAAGTAAGAGGAAAAAAATACAAAGTTTACTGGCCTTGTTGGAAAGATTCCTATTCAGTTTCATAAAGCTCTGAGGTGATTGCAGACCATTTATCAGAGATGGTTTTCTGCTCATTGCTTATATTGAACATTTTTTTAAAGAGACAGTATATTTTTATAACATATTCATATACAATTTTGTCTTCTTCTTCTTCTTCTTCTTTTTCTTCTTCATATCTCTTCTCACAAATGCTGATGCTGATGTGACAACATGTCTCCTAACTAATAAGCAAGGAATGAGACCTCAGACCCAACCCCATTTTTGCAATACAAGGTTCTCATATATGAGCTAAGACAAGTGATATATTATTGTTGGGTGGCTCTGACAGAGGATTAGACAAATTCGTGGAGGACTCTATCAGGCTCTGCCTTGAAGACATTCTATGTTCCAAGATGGGTTGCCTCACCCTCACCCTTCCAGATTCCATTCTAAGTCATCATTCTGACATACGAGTTTCCTCCATATGACCAAGCTTGTTCTGCTCCCAAACTGTCAAAGGTTCATAGGTCCTTAGGAATGCTTCAGGAATTGGATCTTAGCACACTTCCAGGACAAACTGACTTGATTTTCATCTTCCAGGACAATACACCAACTGAAATTCAGTTACCCACTGGGATTTATGGTGTTATGAACCCCTGTGATCGGGACAAAAGAGTCAAGGGATCCAGAGGACCAGGTGTCAGAGCTGACTGCAGAAGATAGGGAGACCATTTTGCCTGAGGGGATTCGACAAGAACCAGAGCAATCTCCCAGACCAACAGTGCCCATAGCGGCAGAGCCTGAGGTACCATAGACACCTTTCCCTGAGCCTTAAGAACTAGATGCCTCTCATTCCACATCACCAGTCTGGGAGTACTAGGAACTCCCCAGGTGGGAGGCTATAGAATGAAGGAGTGCCCATCTTCAGGTCAGAACTGTCCATGGTCCCACAGCCTTGCCACTTTCCCTGTGGGTTCCAGCATCAGACCAGAACACAACATGCACTTCTTGAACATTTCGGCAGAATGCTGGCTCAACATCCATTAAAAGAACTAAAAGGGGGAAACAATATTGAACAGCTTTTGAAGCATATTTTGAGAGAAAGTATGTTCAGATATCTATTTGAATGTCAATTGCCATGTGGAACTTTCTTATGCAGATTGATGTGGAAACAGGGCAGAAAGGATTTATGGGTGAACATGTGCAAAAGTGACACAGGTTGAAAATAGAATGATTTGCCCATCCCTAGTGCTGGCTCCATCCACCGACTTGGCATTTTTTCCAAGACAATTCAAGCTGGAGGTCCAAAGGCTGGACCAATTAAAATTTGAATCACTCCATGGACTAGTTGTTACAAATGCAACCCTGCTCAAGCTTCCCCATTACTGGACATGGTTGGATTGGTCTTTGCTACATACATGTCTATCAAGCACCATGGAAAATCTCCGTATCAGTGGCGCCACAGCACATGTCCCTGGTGACAGCTAGTGCTGGCGTGAAAATGTTCCCACACAATTGGGCTGACTCATATGGTATACCCAAAACAAATACACAAGCATTTTTAATAGACTCCATGTGGGGTGACTAATACTTGAATTGGCTCACAGCCTGGGTTGGTAATGTAAAAAGTGGAAGGATGAGCCAGGGAATTGCACACTGGCCTCTGTATCAGGGCATATAGCTGAGCAAATAATAGATAGCAGAACAATTATAATAGACCAGCGAATGATCTTGAGGGAAATGATTTCTGGCCGCCAACGTGTCTTTATTAGGAGTAAACCATCTCAGGCCAACTGCTCAGGCTTCTCCATGAGTCTTTATCTAATCCCCACATGACTTTTTCTAAAAAGACTAATGAAACATGGTTCTTAGAACAAAAGAGCCATACTAGATCAGGGCCAAAGACCTATCTAGTCCAGCAACCTGGTCTCACAGAAGCCCTAAAGTGGTACTCTCAACCATCCAATCAGGGAAGATGGAAACTGTAGTATGGCAATAGCTGGAGGACACAATCTTGGCCACAAATGACATAGAAGAGCAGGAAATAAATGTGATAAATTAATACTATAAAAAAAGAAGAAAATGGTGGGGTACCCTAGACACTGAGGGTTCCAGAAGAAGTGATGGAACACGTTGTTGTTGTTGTTGTTGTTGTTGTTGTTGTTGTTGTTAGACAGGATGCCAAGGTGGCTCCAGAATATCCATTCTTAGAGAGTTTAAGGGAAGAAGTAGAACAGGCAATACCTGGGATGTTTTAGGCATGAGACATCTTGCCTTAGGGTGGGCAATTGGACTAGATAATCTACTAGTACCTTTCAAATTCAAATAGTCTATGAACTCCCAGAACAGAAGGTCATTGCTCCTTGGAAGATTTCCAAGTAAAGCTATTTTGTATTTATAGGTAGGGAGAGGAGGCTAAACCAAAACCACACAGAACCAGAGTCAGCTGGAAAACACACAAAAGGAGCGGTGTGAGGCCCTACAAACCTGATTGATTGCCAGTTGGCCTAGGGAAACAATGTAAACCCAGGAGGACAATAATTTAAAGAAGGTATATAGCATATATTTACTCTCTATATAATATATAATAATACGAGACCGCCCAAAAGGCACAGCACTTAACATTAATCAAAGGCAAGGCTTTCTTTGCACCAAGAAATTGCCCCCTTTGTCATGAGATACTAAGGCCAGCAGTTTTATAGGCAAGCTTTAGGAAACTGGTTTATGATGTCTAACTACATGCGGGAATATAAGGTACAGAAGGTCTCTGATATTTTAACACTCTGAATTTCGTCTCGTGGCTTTGTCTGCAGGATGCAACACACACACACACACCAGGTTTGCTCAGGACAAGAGATACACTAAAACATAAGATACTAATGAAAGTAGCTGTGGATGGAATTTATTTACACACTGGCAGAGATCTACCTGCTAAATTACCAGAGATCTGGTTGGACGTCAGCACCCAATGCTGTCGAGTAATTATTAGGGAAAGCAACATGCCACATTGGGAGAAGTGCCCCAAACAAATCCATATTGGAGGGAATTAATGAATGACATCATCCTTGTGAGTGTGACACAGTATCCTGCAATGTTAATCTGATTACCTCGCCTGTGTTGTGGACAGTCCACCTTGCACTCCGCAATATTTTAGTTTGCCATAAATCTATGGGGGGAGAGAGAGATGAAAACAACCTTCCATCTGGTCTTGGTTCCTCTCCAACATCAGCTGGGCTGCTGCTTCTCTGCCTTCTCTCCCGTCCCATCCCACATATTCCTTTACATAAGTTATTGCAAAGGGCCAGGTTTCAAAGTGAGGAGGGGGAGAAATATTCATTGAAGATTAGCACCGATTATTAATGGCTTGGCTCGAAAAGTTCATTTTGAAATTTCAGCTTGGAGGGTTCCCCTCCTCAGATCTGCTGGCAACGTATCAGGTTTGCGTTTGGTCCTTCGGATTCACATTGTATCACTTCCCTAGATTTGTATCCTGCAACAACAGCCATCTATGTTCATAATATCAACAAATCAAAATGTGCATTGATTAGCACATTTTTGTTTGCCAAGTTCTCCTTTGAGAAGTTCTCCTTCTGCAGGGGGTGGGGACTTTACTACATGCCAAATGAGCTCTTTTTGTCCAGTAAATGCCCACGAGAACTTCCTTTGCAGCTGCGGGGCACAGAAGGAGGGGACATTACATCTGGATTAGGGTCACTGGGAGGCAGGTTAAATCAACAGACCCTAACTTCCTTTCATATTCAGTTCAATTCATGAAAGTGTGTTTGACCATCTCCACACCATCTCCATTATAAACTTGCTCCTCACCCCTTGACTGTGTGGGGACTTATCAAAATGCTCAACCATGCCTTTCAAAGCAGGGGAAGAGAAGGCTATTCTTTATCCTTTCGTGTAGTTTTTCAAACCTGCTTAGTTTTTGCTCTTTTGAAAAAAGGTTGAAACAAAAGGGTAGACAATGCTTTACTGGGTCATTCTTTTAGAAAATATTGAAACCGAGAGAAGTGAAATATTGAACATTACTATCAAATGCCAGTAAGTGGAGACCCAGTGGCCAAATCTGATCCAAGCAGAGACATTCCACTGGCCTTCTAGTTGGTAGCTGAATGGCAAATGAGATGTGAGGAAAAATAGCAGCTGTGGCAACAGAATTTGCTCACAGACCATGCCAGCCCTCCAGGAAAAGTATTTGTTTGTTTGTTTAGTATTTTCCATCTTTCCTACAAGGAGCTAAAGGGGACATACCCATTTCCCCAAGTGATGCAGGAGGTGCTGTGGTCTAAGCCACCAAGCCTCTTGGGCTTGCCGATCACAAGGTCGGCAGATCGAATCTGCATGAAGGTGTGGGCTCCCTCGCTCTGTCCCAGCTCCTGCCAACCTAGCAGTTCAAAAGCATACCAGGGTGAGTAGATAAATAGGTACTGCTGTGGTGGGAAGGTAAACAGCGTTTCCATGCACTCTGGCTTCTGCCACGGTGTTCCACTGTGCCAGAAGTGGTTTAGTCCTGCTGGCCACATGACCTGGAAAGCTGTCTGCAGACAAATGCCAGCTCCCTCAGCCTGAAAGCGAGAAGTGCCGCACCCCATAGCCAAGTTTGTCTGGACTTAACTGTTCAGGGGTCCTTTACTTTTACCTTGCCTTTACCCATTTCCCCACCTTTATTTCTTCACAGCACAGGAAGGTTAGGGCAGGAGATAAAGTAATGATCTTCCCAACATTACCCAATGAGTTCTGTGGCTATGTGGGGCAGCTTTCTAAACCAAGTCTCCTCTTGTGTCCCACTTGGACTACTGCAAAGCACTCTATGTGACTCAGAAACTACAACTGAAGGTGACTCAGAAACTGCGACTAACTCAGAATGCAGCAGTTAGACTGGTGACTGGGAGCAGCCACCAGGACCATATAACACTGTTCCTAAATAACTACATTGGCTCCCTGTACTTTTCTGAGCACAATTCAAAGTGTTGGTGCTGACCTTTAAAGCCCTAAACAGCTTCAGCCATGTATACCTGAAGGAGCACCTTCACCTCCATTGTCCAACCCAGACACTGGGATTCAGCTCCGAGAACCTTCTGGTGGTTCCCTCATTGTGAGAACTGAGGCTACAAGGGAACTAAGCAGAGGGCCTTTTTGGTAGTCGCACCTGCCCCGTGGACAGCCCTCCCATCAGATGTCAAACAGATAAACAGCTATGTGATTTTTAAAATACATCTGAAGGCAGCCCTGTTCAGGGAGGTTTTTAGTGTTCGCTGCTGTATTGTGTTTTTACCCAGAGTGGCTGGGGCAACTCAGTCAGATGGGCAGCATATAAATAATAAATTATGTTGTTGTTGTTGTTGATGATGATGATGATGATTCAACACTTTAAACCTTGGTGCTCTTCAGTTATTCCTGTATAACTCCTATTATCTGGCCATCTGTCATGGATCCTTAATTGAGATTCCTGCATTGAAGGAAGTTGGACTAGGTACCTTTCTGCTCTACAGTTCAGTGATGCTATGATCCCTGATCCATGTCCATGCTGGCTGGGCCTGATGGGAGCTGGAGTACATCAACACCTGGAAGGCACTGCCTGGGATACCCAGAGTCCAACACGACAAACCAGGAAAGCAACTGTTAACCAGTGCGATTAAGGAAGTGCTTCAATAATTACTGGACTCGACAGACATTTCTTTTCCATCTTTGTTTTTAATAGGGTCCATAGGCATCTGCCTAGAGAGTTCTTTTCAGGGCAGGGGCCATAAAAATGTGAAGCTAAAAAAAAGAAAAGAAAGAAATATCATTGTTAGTCATCATCATTGTTATGACATGTTTTGGGGGTTCTCCCATTGGGGAGAGTCCCTGAAAACAAAGCAGCGAGGAGAAAACACAGAAGGTTAGGGATGTAACGAGACCTATGAAGTCATGTCATGTCTCCTTCTGCCAAAGCCCGTCTTGCTGCACAGAGCACACGTCGGAACCATTGGAAAGATGAGGAGATGGCAGCCAGTACAACAGCAGCAGATGTGACCCAGCCATCAAGACTCGGCAGTAGTAGAGATGGCTCCCAAGAGGAATCCCAGGCAGCAGCCCTTGCTGAAAAGAGAGCCTTGGAACCTCTGAGAACAGCAATTATTTATAAAGTAGATTACTATGTACTCTTTAGCGGATCTACAGTTTTACAGTATATTTATTTTGTCAGTCTCGTTCCCCCTTTGGGAGGAGCACTGTGGTGTTAGCTTGTTCCAGTTTCTGATACATATCTCCACTCCGGAGTGCATGCCCTCGCTCCAGCCGTCCATCTAGTCAAGAGACGCTCCTCAAGGATTCTGCACTCCAGCCTTTCAGCAGCCATTCCAGTGAACAGTGTAATATTTCACTAACCGCTAAAGATCAACTCCCCTGAACTTCAACGGGACTGTGCAGATATCAACAGGTCCCTCCACACAGCTGTGATTGGAGAGTGGTAGCCTATGTCGCTCTGTTTAGCACCAGACCTGAAGAGAAACACATTGCAGTAAACTGCTGGTGAGTCACCATTATGTGTCTTGTAGGAGAACCGCACCTTTGGCATGCCTATTACAGGCACATTTATATTCCTCTTTGCCCACGAGTCAAAGGAACAGCCTGCTTGCCTCAGACTTGCAAGCAGCTTTGCAGCTGGTGTAAGGAAAATGTGGTGTTTGGCCTCCAGCATTTCTCGGATGAAAAGTGGGACATTCTGTTCTACAACAGGAAGCTTCTCCCATGTTTGATCTCGCCAGACACATATACGTCATATACACCTATACATCTGTCACCTTGAGTGAATTACAACCTCACTGTCAGGGACTGGGCAGAGGAAGAATGGTGGAGACTGCCTCCCCAGCCTGACCCTTCCAGAGAAGAAGGTGACAGTTCAGAATTACAACAGGGGTTTGAGGGAGGTCACAGCTCAGAGGCAGATGAGGGGGAAAGCTGGGAAATAATGGGAGAGGAGGAGGAGGAGGAGGAGGAGGAGGAGGAGGAGGAAGAAGAAGAAGAAGAAGAAGAAGAAGAAGAAGAAGAAGAGGAGGAGGAGGAGGAGAAGGAGGAGGAGGAGGAGGAGGAGGAGTGACGGCTGATGGACACAGTGTCCTTAGAAAGCATTCCAGACACCACCTCCCAGAACCCAGCGAGCCTTGAAAGTAGTAGAGCAAAGAGCTCAGAGGCAGAGGGCACTTCTCAGAACCCGTGGTGATGACGCATAATGGGAGAGAGGGAGGGGGTGGAGATTGACTCGGGGCAACGCCATTAATCCCAGAGGCTGAATTTCCAAGCCGCTGTCTGTGAATACTGAATAAAAAGCAGTTGATAAGAACTTTTCCTTGTCTTATCCAATCCTGGCATCCTGCCATTGGGGGGGGGGTTGGATCCTCGGTAGCCTGACACTCACGTACCTCACAGGATTGTTGTAAAGAAGGAAAATGTGTGAGGGAAGGGATCACGTGCAACACCTTCAACATTTAAATGGAATGAAATAAGCTGCCTTGAGTCATTGACAGGGAAAAAGCTGGGATACAAGAACAACAACAACAACAACATGTATTTTAATATTTGGTTGGAAGCCACCCAGAGTGGCTGAGGAAGCCCAGCCAGATGGGCGGGGTATAAATGATAAATTATTGTTGTTGTTGTTGTTATGATGATTATGATTATGATTATGATTATTACTACTACTACAACAACGACAACAGAAATTGTGAGAATGATCAGGAACATACCAGAGAGTAATTCCTATTGAATTCAGTGGGATTTAGTTCTGAGTAAAAATGCCTTGGTTCCCCACTGCCTCTTTCTACATGAGCCCAGAACTTAACGTAGAGCTAAACTAGACAGGAAACTAAACACATCCCGTTGTTACTGCTGCTATTTTTAACTGTTAACAGCCACCAAAGGTTTTTCACAAGTTTCACTTGGGACACATCTATGTTTTTTCCTGGTCCCAGTGAAAATCACCTGCTGCCCAGCTAAACTGCTCATAGCAATGCTTTGTACATATGTATACTCACTTTACTAAAACAAACAAATAAGATTTTAAGTTTTATAGTTTGGGATCATGCCTGAAGGTGATTTTTACATCAAGAAACCTAAGCCAAGGAGTACCAGAAAGACACACTCTGTCTACTCTCCACACCTGAAAGAGAATCCTGATGGGCATGGCATGACAGAGCATCAGACCCTGGGGATCTCTAAATAATCACCTTAAAAATCAAGATATCCAAGGAACACCAGAGATACTCACAGGACCGAGGGGAAATCTGAACATCAGGGCAAGAAAAGTTGGGATCTTTTAGCATATGCAGAAAAATGGCAGGTTCTGCTGGGTGATACAGCTCCAGGAGGACTGTATGAAACAGTCATACATGAAACATGTACTCCAGTTTCCTTCAGAAACATGTGCATAATACAGTCACTTATGTAGCATCATACTTGCAAGGGTATAAATTTGCAGGGGAAACCCACATGGGTGACTTAAAGACATGCTGTGCAATCATATGAATGTTAACTGCACAGTAAGTCTCCCTGTAGGGACGCGGGTGGCACTGTGGGTTAAACCACAGTTCCTAGGACTTGCCAATCAGAAGGTCGGCAGTTTGAATCCCCGCGACAGGATGAGCTCCCGTTGCTCAGTCCCTGCTCCTGCCAACCTAGCAGTTCGAAAGCACGTCAAAGTGCAAGTAGATAAATAGGTACCGCTCCGGCGGGAAGGTAAACGGCGTTTCCGTGCACTGCTCTGGTTCGCCAGAAGTGGCTTAGTCATGCTGGCCACATGACCTGGAAATTGTATGCTGGCTCCCTCGGCCAATAAAGCGAGATGAGCGCTGCAACCCGAGAGTCAGTCACGACTGGACCTAATGGTCAGGGTCTCTTTACCTTTACCTTTAAGTCTCCCTGTGTTCCATGGCGCTTGCCACTTAGGATTAGTCTTAGCCTCCAATCCTATAGACATGCTCCTGAGAGTAAAGGCCACTGAATACAATGGAATATACACCTCTGAAAACTTGTGTACCATGGCATCGTTAGTTACTTATTTAAGCACAAAGTTATTTCCTTAGGCTGGAAGGAGAGATTCGTGCTTGATGTACGTACAGAAAGGCAGTATCACTTGTAAGGAAGCTATTTCTGTGGTGAAAGGACATTATTATAGTGTCTGTTCACCATTTCTGTACGTGCATTGTTTCCGTGATTTCTAGTCACCTGTGCAAAGTCAGTTGTGAGTCATTTACATTATTTTTCGCCCTATAGGACGCACCCAACCATAAGACGCACCTAGTTTTAGAGGGGGAGAACAAGAAAAAAAATCTCTCCCTCTCTGCGCAGCGCCCTTTCAGCGAAAGGGGCAGGCGAAACGGAGCCCCTTCCACAACCATAAGACGCACACACATTTCCCCTTAATTTCTAGAGGAGAAAACGTGAGTCTTATAGAGTCTTATATTCCTTGATAGAATTTAGGCCCCAAGAGCTACAGAGAGCCAGCATGTTAATTGAGGCAAGTTTCTACTACCTGTTTGAAAATATTGCACTTTGCACTGACTACGCTTGTAGGATTACAAGAAGTTTTGTACTAATTGCACTAATTGCATCCCAAGCAGGCACTGGCTTGATTTTTCTCAGGATGACGTCTCCAAGCGATGTGAACACCCAGGGGAGGGAGGAAGCATGCATACGATTGCATTGCTAGGTTGGCAGGAGCTGGGACAGAGCAACGGGAGCTCACACCGTCATGCAAATTCGAACTGCCAACCTTCTGATTGCCAAGTGCAAGAGGCTCAGTGGTTTAGACCACAGCACCACCAGCATCCAATACCTCTACTATATGTAGGCTATAGAAGCTGTGATATATTGCTAGTAGCAATGTTCTTAATTTTCAACAAAATAATAATAATACATATTGTTCCCTCACTTGCCACATGAAAGTATTTGGACTCATGTTCACATCTTTGTGAACGTAAGCGTGCACAGAACATAAACTGTTCAACGTGTACATATGGACTCTCCTTAAGATCAGGGGGATGTTAACTCTTGCCCTCCCAGACTCCTTCTCCAAGATCTTATAGCTGAGCCAGAGTCCTAGCTGGTTTAAGAGGCTGCTCTGTTGTGAATCTCTGCTGCAGACTAGCTTAGTCGAGTGCCTTCACTCTGAGTCTAATGCACTAGAAAGAAATTTTATTGGGTTGCTGTAAACAAACAAACAAATAAAAAACCAGACATTTTGTCAAATTTTAAAAATCTGCCTGGATAGAAATTTTAATCCTGAAAAAGAGGGCGTCTGGATAAAAAGAGGACATATGGCAACCAAACCCTACCTCTGCCCCATTCCTCTTTACCCCCTGCCCCCCCCCCCCATTTACTTCCCTATAATAAGCAATAGACTGTCTGGGAGCTGAGCAAATTGTTCAGTGCAAGATTCCATATTCTGTTGTTATTTACAGTGGTATTTCCGGTTATATACACTTCAGGTTACAGACTCTGCTAACCCAGAAATAGTACCTCAGGTTAAGAAATTTGCTTCAGAATGAGAACAGAAATCGCACAGCGGAGGTGTGGCGGCAGTGGTAGGCCCCATTAGCTAAAGTGGTGCTTCAGGTTAAGAACAGTTTCAGGTTAAAAACGGACCTCCGGGACGAATTAAGTTCTTAACCCGAGGTAGGTAAAGGTAAAGGGACCCCTGACCATTAGGTCCAGTCGTGTTCGACTCTGGGGTTGTGGCACTCATCTCGCTTTATTGGTCGAGGGAGCTGGCATACAGCTTCCGGGTCATGTGTTCAGAATGACTAAGCCACTTCTGGCGAACCAGAGCAGTGCACAGAAATGCCCTTTACCTTCCCGCCAGAGTAGTATCTATTTATCTACTTGCACCTTGACGTGCTTTTGAACTGCTAGGTTGGCAGGAGCTGGGACAGAGCAACAGGAGCTCACCCCGTTGCGGGGATTTGAACCGCCGACCTTCTGATTGGCAAGTCCTAGACTCTGTGGTTTAACCCACAGCGTCACCCTTGTCCCGACTAACCCGAGGTACCACTGTATTAATTTGTGAACTATTTGGTGCTGAAATCTTGTCCACACAGAAATAAGCGACAGACACTCCTGTGATTATAGGAGACCGGTTTTTATCCACTAACCAAAGGAAGATGAATCACCAAAAAATGCTGTTTTGCAAAAATTGTTGGAAGTTGATTGTACTTTTCACCTGGTCTCTAATCTCTATTAGAAACTGCTTCCAGGAGGAAGCAATATTTTAACTATTATATATTGTAATAAAAAGGCATAACTCAAGAGTCTTAAAAAGCATGCTTTTTTCTTCTTTCTTTCACACAGCCTCCCTAAGCTGCTGGCTTATTTGCTCTTGGCTCCAAGTTTTCGCTGTCTTATCTCTTACAATCCTGGCACACAACAGAGTCCAGTGGGATTTTTTTAAAGAACTGGAACTAACTATATTTTCTTTTCCTAACAATGTACTTAGGGAGGAGACGGGAGCTAAGACAATGATGGTGTTGCCTTCTTGGGCAAGCTATCTCTATGGATCAGAGTGACCAAACTCTGACCACCCCCACCACCCCAGATATGCAGGGGCTAATGGAAACTGAAATTCAACAACACCTGGGGGGTTGTAGGTTACACAGCCTTGCTATAGATTTATTTTTAAATCCTCCATGTTCACCCAATACAGTGATACCTTGGGTTACATATGCTTCAGGTTACATATGCTTCAGGTTACAGACTCCGCTAACTCAGAAATAGTACCTCGGGTTAAGAACTTTGCTTCAGGTTGAGAACAGAAATCGTGCTCCGGCAGCACAGCGGCAGCAGGAGGCCCCATTAGCTAAAGTGGTGCTTCAGGTTGAGAACAGTTTCAGGCTAAGAACGGACCTCCAGAACAAATTAAGTACTTAACCCGAGGTACCACTGTACAGGACTGAATTCAGTGCTGGAAAATAGATGCCAACTTGCTACCTGCAGCCATTGCAAGAGGAGCCCCATGGCTCTGTCTTCTAGATGGGTGAAATTTTGTATTTAATCATTTGTAGCCAGCCAACATATTTAAAGGAGGCTTCAGTGACTGCAGCTGTTTTGTGCAGTTTGGCAAGAAAACAATATATTTGTTTAAGAAAAGTAACATCCAGGACCTCTTTGGGATATTTAAACCATTTTAGTAATGGCACAGGCTCCAGTTTGTTTTAAAAGTTTTGCAACCAGCAAATAAAAAATAATTTTATTACAGCTGTTGCTTAAATTATAGCCTTTCAGAATGACACACCAGAGGAGAAGAAAAGCACAACACAGTGAGGAGATCTTACGTGAGCACATGGTAACTGGAAGAAACATTTTGACCCAAACATTATTGTAAAGTATACTTTTCTGTTCCCCTCTGTGAAATTGGCTGCAGGGCGAGCTATACCCTCCCGGTGAGAAAGGCACAGTAAAATGTTTCTCTATGGCAAAAGTAATATGACCAATTCTATTTATCCTTCAGACTTAGGGGTTGTTCTTAGGGCTGCTCCCTCTTCCCAACCTCCATCTTATGTCAGTTTATTAACAATTCAACTATGCAAAACATGTGGTAGGTACAATAGGAATACTTCCAAGACTAAGGTACTTGGACTCATAGGGAGGAATTTGATATTGTGTTTTTATGATCATTCTATTACTGCAAGAATTTCTGATCTCCTCTTTCTTCCTGCTGTATGCTGTTCTGGGTGTTCTCCTGGACCCTCCTGAGATAATTTGGGGACGTGCCATGGAGGCAAAGCAGGGGAAAGACCCATTGTGTTAGCATACCACCCAACATTTCTCTGTTGAAAATAGGGACTTCCTATTCCGTATCCTCCAACTTTTCTCCGATGAAAATAGGGACATCCTACCATACCCTCTGAGGGACGCAGGTGGCGCTGTGGGTTAAACCACAGAGCCTAGGACTTGCCGATCAGAAGGTTGGAGGTTCAAATCCCCGCAATGGGGTGAGCTCCCATTGCTCGGTCCCTGCTCCTGCCAACCTAGCAGTTCAAAAGCACGTCAAGGTGCAAGTAGATAGATACCACCCTGGCGGGAAGGTCCCTTTACCTTTACCATACCCTCTAACATTTCTCCGATGAAAATTGTTGTTGTTGTTTAGTCGTTTAGTCATGTCCGACTCTTCGTGACCCCATGGACCAGAGCACGCCAGGCACTCCTGTCTTCCCGATGAAAACAGGGGTGCCCTAAGGGAAAGCAGGACAGTCCGGGATTAAATCAGAAACTGGGACGACTTCTGTAAATCCGGGACTGTCCCTGGAAAATAGGGACATTTGGAGGGTCTGTGTCAGTGGGACTAATTGTGCTGGCTCCTGCAACTGTTCAGATGGGCCTGGTCTATGGTGTTCCATGGTGTCAGAAGTGTGTGCAGGAGCCAGGCCCTGTGACCAGTAGGGCTTCACAGGGCTGGGGCCTTCCTCAGTTTGTTCTGGAGAGGCAAGGTGCAGCTGCACAGGTGAGGCTGCTTGGTAACTCAAAGCACCTGGTGGCAAGAGCCAGGAAGGGATATAAGGTCAGCAGTTCCCTTCGGCTCTTTGCCACAGCAACACATTTCCTGCCTTGCTGTGTGTGGCTTCTCGCCCCTCGGACTCTTGACTTCATGACTCCTTGCTTCCTGACCCTCAGACCCCTGACTTCTGGACTCTCATTCCTGCTCCCACCCCACCATCTTGCCCCCATTCCCGACGTCCTCAGCCAGGACTTTGATCGCCCGTAGACTGTACCATGATACATGGTGTGAACACAATTGAGCAAGAGCCACAGGGGAAAAGAGCAACCCCAGTCCCTGTATCTTTCTGCAGGAAGAGACGAATCTACAGACATTCAGTCATTCAAATTCAGTAGCCACGCGTCCATGGGCTACTGAACAAATTAAAATATTATATTTCATGTGCCATATCACATTAATCATATGCACAAAACAGAGCAAACAGAATAAAAGCAAGAAAGCATCCCCGCTCCAATAAAAACATTGACATACAGAAGGATTTCACCTACCCATCACCCCTGGCCTGGGAGGAAGAGAACAAAGTGAATAAAGACCAGAGAGATTTCAAAAAGTTGGGCTGATACAAAATTGCTCAGAAAACAATTTCCTGACAATTTTTGATATTCTTCATTTCTTTCTTTTTTTTCTGTCTCTGCCTGAACTGTTGGAGAATTTCATTTTTCCCCCAGGGAAGATTTGGCAAAACGGTCCTGCCAATGTCACCAACTTTGGCTGGCATTCAACTGGGTTTTATACAAAGAAGTTCCATTAAAATTAATGAGCATAACTAAGTTAGGTCCATTAATTTCAGGTAGTTTACGCTGAGTAAAAATTTAGTGCTATATTAAGGCAACCAATGCAGACCTTTGTATTGAAACGTATTTGGATTATGCTGGAATATGCACCATGTTGGAATTTGACCTAGTGAGGATTTACTATTGGGGTACTTGCAGAGACGATAATGGTTTCACTGTAATTGTTTTAAAATCTGCAATTTTTTCATACTTTATTTTTCCTTGACCCTGTTTCTGGTTGTGCAAATTTTGGGAAGTGCATTATCTTTTTTCTTTTGAATATTTATTGAATTTTATAACAATTAATGATACAAATCTCATTCATCATGTTATTTACAAATAACTTGGGAAGTGCATTACCCAGTAGTCCTAAATAAAAGCACACCAAAGCTTGTCTGTTGAACCTTCCCACCCCCGCTTTTCTTCTGGCTTGGTTGGACGTTCTCCCCCAGCCCCAGAGGTAGCAGAAATAGGTTTACACGTCACGGGTCATAACCTAGGTGGGGTTCTTGCTTGTTTATTTCTTCGCAAGCAAGTTTCATGGGAGTTGGCTACGAAGGAGGAAGAAAAACTGTTTTAAGCTGCAACGGTGGCTCCCACAATCCCATAGTTAATTATGGCATTTGAGTGCAAGTCGGGTGGGGTAAAAGCAAGTGTTGAAGGATTATGCAGCAGCGGGGAATTGGCTGGATCCCTTAACTGCTCATTTGCAGACATTTTCGCATGAGTCGGCTTGCAGATGTATAGTAAACCTTGGTGAAGAAAACCTACTTTATTGTCACGGAAAGGATGAAGAAGGGAACAAAGTTGTTCTAAAGTTCCCATTAAAATACAGGTTTTGTAGAAGGTCGAACATTATTTCTGAAGGCTCAAAGCAAGAAATAGGAAGCATTTATTTCATGTTGGGGCAGATGATTGTTGTTTCTGATTGTATAAATGCTGTCGTGGGTCATTTTCTCCTCAACCCCAAGCCTCATTACTCAACCCCCACCATCCGGTCTCTAGAAGAATAGCTCTCTTGGTGACGGATTTATTCCAGCCAAAAATGTACATAAACACAAACTTGCTTTACAAGTGTTCTGCAGTCATGTTTGGTACATTTTCCATCCTCTGCATGACAGAAAAACCTTCCACTATCATACTTGGCTGAAATATTATATTACATACATTTTTTTTTCATGACCTCCAAAGCCTACAGACATTTGGATGTTTAAATACTTAATTGGTGCTGCCTCTACTAGAGTCGCTTACCGAATGCAACCGCATACTCCATTTGTTAAGTCATAGACAACTACAAGAAGGGTTGTTAAATAATAGCTTGGATGAGAGCAAACTTGAAATCAAGCTCCCTTTGGATTTCATCCTGACATAAGATGACATACAAATCAAAACCATTTATAGACACATCATAAAGCTTGTTCTTCTTGACATTCAGGTCAAACACTTTGCATGCACTTCATTTTTAAGAAAGAACTTGTAGAGGCCCAACCAATAGAAGTTTTAATAAGCTTTTCAGAATTCCTTGTATAGTGTATTGTTATAGATTGGGGGGAAACCCCAAGCCTAGAAATTAATAAATGATAGTATTTTTATTATTTGGGATGTGAAGGCAGAAATGCAAGCTGAAGAAGAATTCCTGGGCTAGCCTGGGCAAAACGACCTGACCAAGCTAAGGCCATTAAGAAACAATACAGGAGCCACTGAGAACTATTTTTGATGCAAGAGAACTATCCTCCCCACTTACCCTGAGGTATTAGCAGGGACTGGGGGTTTGGAAGGTTGCCAGGGTAATTGGATGTGAGGTTACAAGAAAAGAGAGTTTTTAGCAAGGTGTTCTGGAAGGAAGAAGGGGGAAGAAGAAAGACTGGGATCCATCTTGGGCTGGCTGGCTGAAGGCTGGCTGGGAGAGATGCCTTGGTCTCCAGAACTGCACTGCTGTGGGAAATGAGCCCTTCTTGAAATGACCATGCTGCAAGAGCTGAACTCTCTCCATGCAAACTGAAGGTGTAAATAGGTGAATAAACCATATTTCTTAAAGCTACGACAGTCTCCGCCATGTCTTAGTTCTTCAAAGGACCACAGACTCCATGGGCTCCACCGCTCAGTAGAGAGAGGGGGAAACATTAGAATTTTGTAACAATATTTATATACTGTGGTGAAGCACATGTTAAGAGTACAGTGGTACCTCAGGTTACATATGCTTCAGGTTACAGACTCCACTAACCCAGAAATAGTACCTCGGGTTAAGAACTTTGCTTCAGGATGAGAACAGAAATCGTGCTCCGGCGGCGCAGTGGCAGCAGGAGGCCCCATTAGCTAAAGTGGTGCTTCAGGTTAAGAACAGTTTCAGGTTAAGAACGGACCTCCGGAAGAAATTAAGTTCTTAACCCAAGGTACCACTGTAGTTCTATGACCCATTACCATTAAAACACCATTATGGAAAGCAGCTACATGTGGCTTCGTATTGCTCAGAATATAGTGGAAAAAGTAAGAAACGGCTATTTAAGCTAGCGATTTGTCCTGCTCAAAATCACCCTTCACCCATTGACTCATCTCCTAAGAGACGAAACATAAAACAAGTAATGTTTTGTGTGAAAATAACATTAGAATGGTAAGTCAAACTCGAAGGGAACGTGATCCCCTAAAGGTGAGAGCATTCATTCCATTGTGCAGACACCAAATGGAGAAATTTGACCCCAATCAAGAATTATCAATGCACACTAGCTGAAGATATCACTCTGGACAATCACTGAGTTCTACTTCCATCTAGGATTGTGATTTTACGTGAAAAATTGCAGTGCGCAAGCAGTACAGAGAGAGAATCCAAGAACAAAGCAGAATCCCACATCAACCAACATTCACACAGCAAAGAAGTGCAGACGTCAAGAGCTGTAGAGATGTTGGAGAAACATTTCCTCACCCAGCCCATTCCCAACGTGCTCATTCTTAACTGAGGGGGACGACCCTATGAGAACCGTCTTCTTGGAATGTTTTGGTTTGTAGCCTGATTGAATCTTGGACAAGATACCCCGCGAAAAATAGCAACTCACCAATCATAGTTGTTGATTTCAGATTTATCACCACCCTCCGAAAGGGAATATTCCCCGATGCTGTAGCTTCCCAGCCTAAGAAAAGCAGCCAGAGGTGAAGTAATATGAAGCATGATTGGGCTCTGTGAGCCCATCTGCTCTCTTCTCTTCATTTCCCGTGTACGAATATGTCAGTGGTGGATAATAGTATCTCTTCTTACATTTTCTCGCACTCATCAACTTATACCTGCTTAGAGACATGACATTTAAAATGCTGGAGCCACGCTGTTCACGGAACGACAGACCCTAAATCAAACTTTATCTGAGCGCATGTCTTTCTGTCAATGTTAAGCGGTAGTAACTATTCCAGTTAGTGAGAACCAGAAACTGTGTTTTACTTGTTGCCCAAGTTCTTGCTCACTTCGATAGACGCATCTCTAATTTTGGGATCGCGAGAGCCTTCAGTTTCATCATCTGGGAGGGAAATAATGGTGTGAGGACCCTTAGTATTTGATCCCTAAATGTTTTAAAGGGTCCGATTCCAAGGCTCATTGCAATAAAGTAAGCATTGCACGTGAAACTTAAGCCAACTAGAATAACCACTTCTGGTGTGGCAGCCGCTGTGGTAGTTGTCTGGCTGCCAGTGGCACACACACACACAGAGCGGGCAAATAGATTGGTTTACTCCACATTGCAGCAAGACTCAAAGAGCCACCTGAGGGGGTTATATGACTCAATCTCTCACACGCTCCTTTTACCACCTCTCACAGAAACCATTAAAACACACTGCAGGAAAACTCCCCGAGTCCACCTTGGCTGCATACCGTGGTTCACCGGTGCTAGAGGATTAATCACAAGCTACTGTTTCAAAAGAAGAAGAAAACGGGCAGCTGGCTGCCAATTTTCTCCCTAAACCAGAGCTTTTGTTTTTGCAGTCACACCTTCTCACTAGGCCATCGGCAAAGGCGAGAGCAGCTCTCCCCGTGCCAAGAGAGGTAAACAAAAATAAAAATGCACACAGAAATATGAGGCCGATTGACTGTGGCAGGTGGGGTTTGGCAGTCTGGTTCCGATTTTCAAGCAGGGGATTAAAGCCAAAACCAAGGCATTGCCACAGTAAATTAACCATATTCCAACAGTTATGTGGCTCATTTCTTTTCACTTCTACTTTCATTTTACATTAGCGACGTTTGGCACGTCTGACTTTAAAAGCCATCATTTCTAGTTCAGAAGCAATGCAGAGAAAGGTTTATTCCCCTGTGTGATGCTATAGCCCCTTTTGGTTTGAGCAACAATTTTCTGGGGACGGAGTGAAAAACAAGCATGCTCATTGTCCTATACAAAATGTTGTAAACTGACCAGGACATGCCTGGAGGGGTAATAGGTTTGCAGATCACATCAGCCAAAAATACCTCATATCTTCTCCCCCTTCCCCTCATCCTGTGCTTGCTAGCCTGATATATTTAACCAAATTCCTGGAAATATATGGATTTTAAATTGTAAACCTTCCAGAGTTGTTTTATTATTATTATTATTATTATTATTATTATTATTATTATTATTATCTCAGACCCTATCTTCCTCTCCAGAGAGAGCCCAGGCTGGCTCACAATAGTACAATGACATTTGTACAATGACACACCCAACAATCGGTGATTGTTTTTTAAAATTGTGTTTTAATGTTGTAGCCTGCCCTGGGACCTTCAGCTGAAGGGTGGGCTATTCATCATCATCATGATGATCATCAATTTAAAACAAGCTGTTCTATAACATACTGTAGGTAGCAGATGAAACCAGCAGTGTAAAAACTTCATAAAACAATTGGCCCAAAAGCTGGATAAGAAAGGAAGTCTTCACATGTTTATTCATGTATGTAAAGTGGAGAACGGTCTGATTTCTCTTGAGAGGGAGTTGTATAGCCAGGGTGCCACCACTGAGAAAGTCCTATCTGTGCTTTTTGGTGTGGTGAAGGGAACTGTCACACGGAAATAATTCCTTTGGTAATAGGTAAAGACCTATGCTGAGAATTCTGTTTAGATTCAACAATCATTCAGTGAAATCTTACACTATGTTTGAAGAAGAAGATAAAGGATGCTGCAATGTTTAGGCAAATTATTAGATTAGTGCTAATTTCCATGCTATTTCCTTCCAGTTATTCTACCTTTTCTCCTTTAATTATTAAAGAACTTGAAAGCTCAGGGGGTTTTTTTTGCCAAATTTTCATTTATTCCCCCCCCCATTCTGTTGCTGCTGGGTTTTGAGCCTTTCCCCAATATTTCACATCGCATATTCTCACAAATACAGTCGTACATGACATTTGTTATTTTTGTTGGGAGGCATTTGGTGTGTGTTTGTTAATAAAAACGCAGCAATACCTATTTGTACTTCTGAATTTTTACCCAGCATGTTCTTAATCTGCAGCCAACTCTTTTGCCTCTGCACAACCACTAGGTACAGAAATGGCTTCCAACTTTTATCCCACACTTTCCAGTAAGGTAAAGGTACCCCTGCCCGTATGGGCCAGTCGTGTCCGACTCTAGGGTTGTGCACCCATCTCACTTAAGAGGCCGGGGTCCAGCGCTGTCTGGAGACACTTCCGGGTCACGTGGCCAGCGTGACGAAGCTGCTCTGGCGAGCCGGCACCAGCGCAGCACACAGAAACGCTGTTTACCTTCCCGCTATAGAGCGGTACCTATTTATCTACTTGCACTTAATTGTGCTTTCGAACTGCTAGGTGGGCAGGAGCTGGGACCGAAAGACGGGAGCTCACCCCGCCGCGGGGATTCAAACCGCCGACCATACGATCGGCAGGTCCTAGGCACTGAGGTTTTACCCACAGCGCCACCCGCGTCCCAACATACTTTCCAGTATTTACACTCTAATAAGAGACAGATTTAGGGGAGCGTGACTGGTTTGCTGCAGGAGGAGCTTTGACAATGGCTTAGGTCAGAGGCGGTGGCGTTGCAGGGGGTGCTGCTGAAATTTGAAACCCCAAGGTCCCCCACTGCTCTAAGTTTTTCTTATTGCTATAGGCTACCACGGGTGGCGCTGTGGGTTAAACCACAGAGCCTAGGACATGCCGATCAGAAGGTTGGCGGTTCAAATCCCTGCAATGGGGTGAGCTCCCGTTGCTCAGTCTCTGCTCCTGCCAACCTGGCAGTTGAAAAGCACATCAAAGTGCAAATAGATAAATAGGTACTGCTCCAGCGGGAAGGTAGATGTAGCAATGATGTATAAATGATGCTGTATGAACTGTATTCTGGGATATGGTAGGGAAGTTTTAAAAGTCATTGTCACCCCATCCTCGGGGTTCAAAATTCCTCTTTGAATCTGTTGCTCAATAAACTTTGGTCTACAGCTATTTGCTCCGGTTGGTGGCTGGACTCCTTCCTTTATTCCACAGGGACCCATGGGCTCTGCCTGACGAGCTGGGTGACTGAGCAGCCTTGCGCCTAGATTTTTCCATAACTTGGACCATATGGAGGAACTTAAACGCTTTGGTGGAACAACAGAATAGAAGGCAAAGAATATATACTGCGTTGAACAACACTGCATTTCTTTGCTATGAAAGCTGCACAATGGTATCTTTAAATACAGTACATCCAGTTCTTGTTTCTCCTCAATTCAACCAAACCAACTGAAATTAGAATATTATTTTCTAGGACACAATTTACAGCAGTAATTAATCCATTGCATATAAATTTATGTCCCGTGTAATATGTTTAAACCAGGCTCCTAGCAAAACTAAATAATTTATACTTAAAAGCTATGGTTTTTATGGAAATTTGAATCCCAGTTATTAACAGCCATTGATCAAGAAACTAATAATAACAACAAAAGCGGATGTATTCTAAGCTGGTATAAATCAGCTGGATAATAAGACTAGCATTATATAATTAAAAATAAAGCCCTGCTATTCCATTTGCAGCCCTACCTATAAAATATAAAGATCTGAAAGAGTTAATGGGCTTCAATAGCTCTTATAATAGGCCAAGCTATTTTGGTGGAAACAATGAACTCTGTTCACCTGCAATTTGATTTTTAAAAATGGAAAGAAAAAAAGTCAATGCCTAAATTTAAATCCCGTCTACAGTCTGGAAAGATTGTTTTGTGAGACCAGTACATTTGTGTCCTTTTAAAAAAAACATTTCCTGAAGATGACTTTCAGTGAGTGCTGATGAATTTGCATCCTTAATATAATCAGCCTTTAGGGAGTTCAAGGAAAGATTTAAATACCCACAAAGAAATTGAGTATTCTTCAGCTATCTGTTAAAAGCGCACTTCAAGAGCATTTCAGTCTGTATGGGATGGTCCTACACAGTGCTATTTTTCTAGAAAAAGAGGTGTCAGAACTCACCCTGAACACCTCCCTTGTTCTCTTAAAATGGCAATAGCACACACTTGCTTGCCATAACTGAGTTTCAGTGAGTTCTGGCTGAAAAAAGCTCTGGTCCTACACACTCTCATCGAGCACCAATAATGTTCTGTCCCAGAGATAGGAAGCCTATGGCTTTCCAGATATTGTTGGACTACAGATCCCATCACACACACACACACACACACACACACACACACACCAGTCAACCTCATTTCTGTGGAGAGCAAAAAACTGGATGCAAAACTACTATGTGTGATAGTTCACTTTTTGAAGAATGCTGGCTACGTTGCATAGCAACCAGCTTCCAGAACCAACTGTCATTTTCTTATTGGTAGTAGTAATTTTATCTATACCCTGCCCATCTGGCTGGGTTGCCCCAGTTTCTTTGGGTGGCTTCCAACACAGGAAAAAGGAAAGAAAATTTATGGATTTATTGCAATATATCTTCTTTTATTGAAGAATAGACACTAAAATTGTGTTCCATATACCCAAGAAAACGTAAAAATGCTTGGACACAAATACTTACCCTCTCTGTTGGTCTTTTCAGTGGTAGCACCGCATATATGGTGCAGCATTTTGTATATAATAATAATAATAATAATAATAATAATAATTCAACAAATAATTCAACATACAGAGTTTCTATGTTTAATTATAAGAACATTTCAAATCCTGAACAGTTATTACAATTAAAAAAATGGTTCATCTTATGACCTCTTTGTCTTTAAACTTTTTCTATCTTTTTTCAAGCATATTCATCTTTCGTTGTGCCTCCCTGACTCACATGTACCTTGTTCATTTATTCATCATCATCATCATTTATTGTATGAAATAAAAATTGTTGTTTGTTTTCTCTGCTTATAAACACATTTCATGTAGGCGAATAGACGTGCCTTGAAAACCCATATTTTTGTGAAATTTTGGCTGGCTTTTATTTGTGACACTTCAGTTGGCCTAGTAAAATATTACCCTACTTTGGATTTTGGACTTTTTAAGGAGTCAGCACAGCTACCTTTAATTCTTTGTGTAACTTGGAAATATATTTTAAGATGAAGAGCAAGTAGTAACCTCTACTAGCCTATTAATAATTTTTTACTATCCTTGACCATTAAAGTGGCATATTGACAACATAAGGGTGCCTCCAGTCAGTCAGTATTTTGCATTTACCCAAAATGGCACCATCAACACACAAGAAGACAGTAGACTTGCACGGACCCCAAAGTTGGTAGAAGTACAAAAAATATATATTTAGGTTTTTACCATGGCAGGGCTGCAGATGGGGTAAGGCAGGGAAGCTAAGATTGTGCCCTAAACTGGCAAAAGCTAGTGCCTCTGTTAGCATGCTGGGTTTCTGCTGTGGAGACCTGGATTCACATCCCTGTTCAACCGAGAAGTTCAAGGGTCCTTCACTGTCTGAACCCTGCCTTCCTCACCTGGTTATATTTACGAGGATAAAGTGAGGTGTGTCACAGTCATGTATATCATCTTCAGTTCATGCACCTTCCAAGATTCCCCTCTGCTACACCACTGCCTACCCTGCTCTCGTAACCTCAGCTTTTCTGTTTCCCGTCAAAACTTTACACGAGTCAGGGAAACACACAACAACAACAACAACAACAACCATGGCCGGTTTTCAAACTCAGATTAAGTACTTACTTTTATCACAGGCTTGAGCTAATTTCCTTAAACCATCATCACAAAATCACAGTGCTCAGGGGGATACTGTCTTGAACGCAGTCCTTTCTGACAGATGGAAGATTCCTTCCTTACAGCTTGTAAGCTCAAGGCTGACAAGAGACCTTTGGGGAACAATACTATTTCTTTCTAAGGCAGTACCAGCTACAGGTCAATTGTCATACTAACTGAAAACAAACAAAGAAAACAGCCATGTTCCTGTTGCCTTGTCTGGGTTCCTTCATTTTCATCCAAAGGGAGCACACAAGCAATACCACAAATTAGGAAAACTGCATATAATTTTTGCAGATGAGCATTTTGACCTCATTCGCCGTTGTCCGGCCTTCCTTTGATAGAAATATTTGTGTTCCTTGCTCTCGGCCATTTCCCCTCCTCCCTCAGAGCTCTTAACCATGCATTAAAGAAGAAAACTGGTAACCTTCAGTGATGCAGCTACTTACCTCCTAAACCACAGTAATTAATCCCCAGTGGGTAACAAATACTACACAATTTATTCTTATTTGGCTGCAGCTCGAAGGGACCTGGACTCTGAATTAGCAAACGCTTGGCGTTCAATCTGGAAAGCATATGTTTCCCTTCCATCATTCAATCCATCAAAATGCCAACCAGCTCTGGCTGCCGGCCCCCCTCCCCATCGAAAAGAGGGGGGAAAGAAAAGAAAAGAAAAGAAAGAAAAGGTCTGGGAATGGCACTTTTTGATATTACTCATTAACATTAATGTCCTGGTATAAAGATATGTTTTATTTGCAGGTAACCAACAGGCTCATGGGCATCTGGGAACACTTTGAATGATTGCCAAAAGTCAGGGAGGAGGAGGGAAGAAAGAAAGAAACGTGGGTCAACTAATGATCAACATCCCCTTTTAATCAGATGAAGCTGTTGCAATGTGTCAATCCTCTAGGGGAACAAGGACCTTTCACCTCACCAAAGCCTGCAGTAGCATTTACCTATCCTTTTGCTTTGTGAGAAGACCAGTGGGTGAGGGCACGTTCGGGCATGCATGTGATGCATTGCATGTAGCAGTTGAATCTGATGAGTTTAGACAAAGGGTGTCAGAGTCCAGCGCAGGGGTTTGCAAAACTCATCACACCAAACATGATTTACCATATTTTTTGCTCTACAGTGGTACCTCGGGTTACATACGCTTCAGGTTACATACGCTTCAGGTTACAGACTCCGCTAACCCAGAAATAGTACCTCGGCTTAAGAACTTTGCTTCAGGATGAGAACAGAAATCGTGTTCCAGCGCGGCGGCAGCAGGAGACCCCATTAGCTAAACTGGTGCTTCAGGTTAAGAACAGTTTCAGGTTAAGAACGGACCTCCGGAACAAATTAAGTACTTAACCCGAGGTACCACGTTATAAGACTCACTTTTCCCCTCCTAAAAAGTGTCTTATGGAGCGAATGCAGGCTGCGCAGCTATCCCAGAAGCCAGAACAGCAAGAGGGATCGCTGCTTTCACTGCACAGCGATCCCTCTTGTTCTGGCTTCTGGGATACAGAATTTTTTTTTCTTGTTTTCCTCCTTCAAAAACTAGGTGCGTCTTATGGTCTGGTGCATCTTATAAAGCGAAAAATACGGTAGTTTTAAACCAGGGCTGAGTCACACATGAAGGTGCATGCCCGAGTCATTGTCTCCTGGTGACAAAGATGTGAACTGGCTTATGGTATAGTTCAGCATATGTTCGGAAGTCCCAAAACTTTGCACCAGAGCACAGAGAGGAATTAGGATCATGGCAGCAAACCTAACCTCAGATTCCATCTCTTGGGAGGCTGTATGCAAGGTCTGCAGGGTATCATATTGTGCAAAGAGAGACTTCACGTGTGCCGGTTGTACAGGCCAAACGTAGCCTCTCCACGTGCTGAACTCATCAATGCATGGAGGCCGGGGCCAAGGGCCCAAAGTATTTTATATTTTGTTTTGTTTTGTTTTGTTTATATAATGATTAATTTATAAGATGGCTTCTAAGAGGTTTGCAAGCATAAAACCAATTACAAAAAATGAAACACACACAATTCAAACACACAATAGCACTATTTCATCAAAAATGTTGAAACAAACATCCACAAATGAAAGGTACAATAAAACAAGTGACATTAAAAAAACCAGAACAACAATGTAAACAATTAAAAGAGGGAGGTCTGCTTCTTGGCTTCCCCCCTCTCCAGCCTCTGCTTCTGCCTCTGATTCTGGACTGCTCTCTGTCACAGCTTCTTCTTGCTCACCAGACCCTTCCGAACTCAGCTTCTGAACCTCTTCCTCCTCCCAGTCTGCTCTGTCTTCTCCCTCTGACCACTCATCATCGTTCCACCACCAGTCCCCTAGCTGTGAGCCCTCTTCCCTTGGGGGTTCCCTTGGGGCTTCCCCAGCTGGTGCCTCCCACTACGCCTATGAATCCAGCTGGTCTACAACAACTGACCAGGCCAGTGGTGGCAAACATTTGGAGGCCGAGTGCCAAAACTGCAACCCAAAACCTACTAATTTATCACAAAGTGCCAACACGGCAATTTAATGTGGGATAATAATATACCATAATAAAATGAGCTGGGGGGGGGGGGGACTGCCCTGAGTTGTTGAGTTTGGGAGGGGCATTGTCCTGAGTTTTTTGGGGGGAGTTCCCAAGACTTGCAGAGCTTTGGGGGGGGCTTGGAACACAGTTGTTTTTTGGGGGGAGAAAAACACTCACACACATTATAAACTCTTCCTATGGCACGTGGAGAAGAAGAAGAAGAAGAAGAAGAAGAAGAAGAAGAAGAAGAAGAGGAGGAGGAGGAGGAGGAGGAGGAGGAGTTTGAATTTGATATCCCACTTTATCACTACCCGAAGGAGTCTCAAAGCGGCTAACATTCTCCTTTCCCTTCCTCCCCCGCAACAAACACTCTGTGAGGTGAGTGGGACTGAGAGACTTCAGAGAAGTGTGACTAGCCCAAGGTCACCCAGCAGCTGCATGTGGAGGAGCGGGGAATCGAACCCAGTTCACCAGATTACGAGTCTACCGCTCTTAACCACTACACCACACTGGCAACACATAGAAACAACACATAGTCTCAAGGATCGCAGGCAGCTACCAATCAACGAAAACCCTTGACAAAGCCACCAATCTCACAAACTACAGGCTACTGGCTGCAAAAAAAAAATCCCACCAATCGCCGGGGGCGCGGGGAGGCAAGAATACAGCTGCTTTGCGGAGACAAACTGCCTCTAAGCTGCTTCCAGAAGGGTGAGAGTGGTTTACTCATGAGGAGGCATGGGGGGAAGCTGCTGCCCAATTTGAAAACCCCAAACAACGGCACTGCTGGTGTGATGGCACATGCCAACAGAAAGGGCTCTGCGTGCCCACTCTGGCACCCGTGCCATAGGTTCACCGCCACTGGACTAGGCCTTCACTCCCTTGTCATTGTCTTTTTCAGCAGCTGTATTTTATCAGTTCCCTGTGTGGAAGCCACAAAGACTCCTATGTCCTTCACCAGTGCCTTGCACGTTGCCAGAATGAACTGATGTTAAACAGCAGCAGTGATGCACTCTTCAAACCCTGAATATACAAGGCAAGTATATTTTTAGATACATGCCGATATTTCTGAACTGAGGTTCATTTGGTCACCCACAGAATGCCAGCTCAGATAGACATTTACAATGGTGAGGGGAGAAGGGGGAAAGGATGTTTCTGAGCAAAGTCTGTTTTAAAGCTCAGGCAGTCCTATGCTAATGACTATGGTCTTTCTGCTGAGCCTGTGGCAACTAAGTAGAGGAAATAATAATGGAGATTGAAAGGCATGCTGAAGTTGACCTTTCATAACCCATCCATTCTTTAGCAGAACATGATAGGTAATGGACACATCTGCTCTCAATACCAAATGCTAACAAGGAACCTGTGACTTTAATGTCTGCAAGGGAAAGCAAGATTTGAAGAAAGGCCAAAAATGAACAGGTATTCACAGAACAGCATCAGGGCATCATTATGAAATGTTAAACAAACACGCATAATCAAGCAATGGGTCCGCTATTGACCCTCCTGGAAGACGGCAAATTCTGGATATCGTACAGGTGCAGTACCTCTGGGAGACTACGTTTGCCCTGAAAAGCTGCTCAAAAGGTGCAGGCAAGCGGGGGGGCATAAGAAGAATGAAAAGCTGTCATTTCCTTCCATTTGCAGCAGGGCAAGCTAGATCCATTCCGTAGGATGTGGAGTTCTCTCAGTACATAATGTAAGAGGTACACTTGTGTGAGTGGTAGATTCCATAACAGTCCTTTCCCAATTCACCGACCCTGCTCCCCCACATCACATTCTTCAGCCCTAATTTGTTTTTGTCCACGGATCCTGTCTATCTGCTCTATGTGCTCCTCCCAACCCCACCCCATTCCATCTTCCAGAAACACGACTCCTGTTGTGTTGTGTTGTGTTGTGTTGTGTTGTGTTGTGTTGTGTTATGGGCCATCATTAGATAACCATTTTCATGGGTCATGAGATGAGGACCAGAAAGTGGATAATTGAAACAAGGAAACTGTAGAATATGAGGCCATTGCTTCGCCAAAGCTAAGTGGGTCTGTGTTTTTTCATCACCTGGACAGAAGACCTTCTAGGAACAAAGGCTGGTGACATGTTGGGTCAACCCTAACATTATCATGTGGCTATGAAATAGGAGTTAAGGGATGCGGGTGGCGCTGTGGGTTAAACCACAGAGCCTAGGACTTGCTGATCAGAAGGTTGGCGGTTCGAATCCCCATGACAGGGTGAGCTCCCGTTGCTCGGTCCCTGCTCCTGCCAACCTAGCAGTTCGAAAGCATGTCAAAGTGCAAGTAGATAAATAGGTACCGCTCTAGCGGGAAGGTAAACGGTGTTTCCGTGTGCTGCTCTGGTTCGCCAGAAGTGGCTTAGTCATGCTGGCCACATGACCCGGAAGCTGTACACCGGCTCCCTTGGCCAATAAAGTGAGATGAGCGCCGCAACCCCAGAGTCGGTCATGACTGGACCTAATGGTCAGGGGTCCCTTTACCTTTACCTTATGAAATAGGAGTTAGAGGTGAAGGAGAAATTCAGTTCAGATTTTAATGTGAACCTGCTTAACTCCAAGTTCCCAAAGCAATGCACAATACACTATCCTTTGAAATTCACTTTTCTCCAAGTTCTGTGATTGTGTTCCCAAACCAGAGAATGTGTGCAAAACTGCATATATTAAGAGAAAGCTTTATTATCCATTGGCAATTCACAAAATCTTACCCCTATTCTCTAAAGAACCAGTATTCCTCTTTGCTGCATCTGGAATTGAATTGGCCGGATCCTGCAAAAGCGAGGAGGGTCCTTGCAGGTGCAGGTGACAAAATTTTGGGAATTGTTTGTCTGAAAAACTAACCCAATATAGAAGAGTGGTCAGGATACAGAGAAGCATGAGAAGTTAGATTTAACATTGTTTCCCTTTCTCAGCTATGTATGTGGATAGATATGCTGCTCTTTCTCCCTCTCTATGTCCCTGGGTGTCCCTGGGTGTCTTTATGGAGGGGGAATATATAGAGGCACACTTTGGTTGGCTTTTATTTGGGAACTCTTTATGACAGTGCTGCAACAGTACTGTTTATACTCCATACTTTGTTGTAACTTTCAGGTGATGTTCCTTTTCCTGAAACCATCGAAACTTTATTTTAAAAATAGATTACAGGAAACTTCTTGGGGGTGGGGGGAAGATCTGTAAATAAGGCAAAACTGCATGCGGAAAAGTGCAAACTTGGAGAAACGTGCCCTAAATTGCTGAAGAATTTTCATAAGGATTAAAAACAGACATGCAAAGTGATTTTAGGAATGTGGAGAACTGAACGTAAGACTGGAAAAATAAGAAAGTGATATGAAAATGAAATTGACAGATTTGTCCGTTCCTATTCTAAGTCTCCCGGATCAGACAGCTTCAGCGTGGTTGTTGAGGTCTCTCCAAACCACTAGCCTGTGGTTCCTCAGCACCAAGCCCAAGTTCACGTACATGAGCTCAGGCTTTGCTGGACAACAAAATGATCAGTACACAAAGATCAAGTACCCCAGATCTATTCCAACTGCCTGGCTGGCTCTAGCTAAAAACGCTGAAAACTGTAGCTGAACTAGAAACACTCAAAACTGTGACTCAGCTGCACAAGAAGAAGATGGAATTCTTATGGGCTTCTGCAACTCTCATTCCCAAGCATCAAGCTCATGTTGATGCTGCTCTGAGAACCCAGGTGGACACAGGTAAGAGAAGACAACTCCTGCCACATCATCATCAACAACAAAATCTCTTATTTATCTGGTGGGAAAACATGGGTGGAGGAGAGTTCATCTCCCTTGCCATCTCTGAACTTTGAATTGCACCCCATCATGACGCTTTATAACAGTTCAGAAGTGGACTCTGCATACCAGGCTGTGTGCATAGATTGTTGTTGTTGTTTAGTCATTTAGTCGTGTCCGACTCTTCGTGACCCCATGGACCAGAGCACGCCAGGCACTCCTGTTTTCCACTGCCTCCTGCAGTTTGGTCAAACTCATGCTGGTAGCTTCGAGAACACTGTCCAACCATCTCATCCTCTGTCGTCCCCTTCTCCTTGTGCCCTCCATCTTTCCAACATCAGGGTCTTTTCCAGGGAGTCTTCTCTTCTCATGAGGTGGCCAAAGTATTGGAGTCTCAGCTTCAGGATCTTGTGCATAGATTGTTTTGGGCTAAACTAGTTTTCTCTCCGGACTTCCGGGTCAGCGCCATCGGTGAATGGCGGAGTTCCTCCGATCGGAGGAACGGGCTCCGTGGAAACTGGGTCTTCCCGCCGCGGCGAAGGTGGGGACCCGCTAGAAATCCCAGGCGGAGGAAGCCTGGGAACGTGGGGTTCGGCAGGGCACCAGGAGCGCCCCCCCTACTCACCGGGAACCCCATTTTGGGGCGCCGGAGCGAAGTGGGGTGAGTGGCGCGGTGCTGCGAACTGATTGCTATTTTCACGGAGTGAAGTCGCACAGCCATTGCCGGAGAGTGCTGACTTTTTCCTGTGGACAATTGGATTTAAAACAAGTACCCGTGAGTAGAAACGGAAAATTGGATCAAGAAATTTCTTAATTTGGTATCGAAGTGGGAAGGTTCAAAACAGGAAGTCCGCCTTCCGCTTTTTGTATATAGACTAAAGCAAAAACTTTGTAAGCTAAAGCCTGGAAAGCTGTCAAAAAAGTCTAAATTTCCTTCATTCAGAATTATTGAAACCCCCTTGGAAGCAGGAGAAAAGGGGGGGGACTTTGTTTAACCCTAGCAGGAGAGGGAGTGAAGAAGGATAAGTTTCCACCGTCTCTAACCTGGGAACGGGGTGTCAGAGACAGAAACTGTTGGAGAGGTTCATTGACTGTGAATGGAATACTTTGACAGATAGCTAAAGAAGAGAAATAAGCTGATTCCAATGTTGCTTTTTGCAATTTAAAGAAACAAAATATCTGAAAAATATCTGAAAACCGAAAGTAATTTTCCTTTGCTGGACTTGCCTAAAAAAAAAAAATGGATACAAATAGAAATTGTCTCCTCTAGAGGGAACTTGTTAAATTGTTGCTGCAGTATACTTGAGGATCCAACAGCTGTGAGATTAAGATCGTGGGAATAGTCTTCTCTGACCTTGACTAAAGATGAGCTGGGAGGAAGATTGGGTGCTTGCTTTATGTAAGACAAGTGCCTTGCTGGAACAGATGCACGAGAAGATGGATTTGATGAATGAGAAAATGGATTTGACTGCTGTGGTTAATAACTGTGGACAAACAGGGAACATTGATACAGAAATCATTCAGGGACCAACTCATGAATCTGTACTGACTGGGCAAGTGCAGATGACAATGGAGGAGGATGCGGTTGCACCTCAAATAATACGGAGAGACCCGAGGCCCTACGGGAGCATAAGCCGCTGTCATTGAAGATTGAAGTTGGAGTGGGCCAGGGGGAGCCTGGAGCTGAGGAGGTTCCTAACTTTGGAGAGACCTTGAAATATGCTTTTAAAACTTTTTGGATTATATCGAGGACTGTGGGGAGTGGGCGGGTTTGATGAAGGGAGATGGAGACAAATTTGGGTTGGAATCCCCCAGAGACCTACTCCTCAATGAGAAAGGAAAGAAATCAAGAAAGAGACCAACAAAAGACAAGGAAAAGGGCAAGTATAAACAAGAAGAAGAAGAACTGCAGAAGGGACATGGAAGAGACTTAAGGGCCTCGGACATAAGGCTTCCAGGTTGATGGACTAGATGGAATGGACAGTAAGGACTGACACGATCCGAGACCAGGAAGAAGAGACGTTGGATGAAGATTGGGAGAAAATTTATAAAGAAAACTTTCTATTTAGGGAATTAGTTTAAAATTAATGAATATTAGGGAAAATGTTGGAATGAAACTATATGACTCTAGCAGAAATGACATCAGGAGTTATGTATATTTGAAAACTAAGATTCAAGCTTTAAGGTATTTTAGGGTAAGATAAGGTTAAATAAATTAAGGTAATTTGAATAACAGAATATGGGGAAAGATGGAAAGGATTTGTTGAGTTAATTATTAGGTTAAATTGTTAAGATAAATTTTTTAACAAAAATTGAGAAAGATGGAAAGAATTTGCTGAAATAACTAATTAAACTAGAATACAAAAAGGGAGGTGTGAGGAGGTCAATGAAACAAGCAAATGGAAGTTATAGATATGTAATTTGGGATTTGTGTCTTTTTTCTTTTTTTCTTTTTGCTGTATTGTTGTATTGGTTTTTGTGTTTTTTCTTCTTTTTTATGTATTATAGTGTTGTTGTTTTTATTTTTTATTTTTTTTCCTATAATTCTGAAACTACTAATAAATATTATTGTAAAAAAATAAAAAATAAATTAGTTTTCTCTCCAATCTGGTGCCTTCCAGCTGCTGTTGAATTCCCAACTTCCATCTGGCTATCATGGCCAATAGATGATAGGAGTTGCAGTCTGAAGTATCTGATGGACACCATGTTGGGGAAGTTTGGGTTAAACGGATTCATGGTATGAATCAGTAGTCTACACTGCTCTGTATGTTTCTACACCTTCCACCTCTCCCCATATAGTTTCAATCTTGTCCAATCTGTAGCAGGCACCGTGAACTATTTGTTCCCCCTTTTCTGTTTGACATCCTCTTAAATATTTGAACACTGTCAACGTTCCCAGTGGTGGTGTGGAAGAGAGTATTAGTTTCCATTATATGGCACAGGACCGAATCTATGCCTCATGTAAGTACCAGCTATTTGTTTTGCTGTAAATGACCATTTAATGAAGAAATATGGCGTTTCACATTTAGCTAACTATAAACAGCAGCCTGCCGGTAACTTAAAACTTTCAAAAGGACAAAGCTGGGAAAGGAAAAAACAGTCTTCAGAAAGTATTTCCTGTGTACCTTCGAGAGTCTTATCAGACCTGCATCTTTCACTCATATTTACTTTTTGTCTTCTTTAAGAACACTTGTGGAACTGACAAAGCCATCAATAAGAGCACACATGAAAGGAGGGATGAAAAATAAGCTGTCTAAAGAGCACTACACAGCAGGAAACTTATTAGCATTTATTGCATGGTTTCGGGTTACAAGTGGCTGCTTTGAAAGAATAGGATTTATATGAGTGGTGTATGTCAGAGCACTACAGAAGTTAGGCTAGGGATATCTGCTGAGAATACCTTCTGCAAAAATCTTCTGGATAGCTAGAAAGGTAGTATAACCTTGCTAAACTGTATCACTTTTAAGAAGAGTTCTGTCACCTTTCTAAAAGCTGTTTTTAATACTCCGGTGCAAGGAAACGCCATGGAATCTGTGCGATTCACATTGAGAGGAATGCTGGTCTTTATCCCATCTGAAGATTGCAGCGATGCACCCTACATCCCACTTCTTGCAAAAAAAACACAAAAAAAACACAACAACAACAACAACAACAACAACAACAACAACCACCACCACAGGACATCCCTACATCTCACAAAGTGAGCCACAGCTTTCCAAAAGTGTCTGGGCACAACTGGAAGGGTTCTGAGCTAGGTTGCTGGCCAAGTCACAAGCCTCACTCCCACATCAATAGAATCAGATTGCTACTGAAGTGAAGTTGAGGGGGGAAATTTGTGAACATCTTCTTTGTTTCCCCACTTGCAGTTCCAAAAAGACGTGGGTTTGCTGCAGCTCCTAAGCAAAGCGCTCAATTAACTGAGGTTGAATTGGCAGGTTTTCCATTCTCTCTGGATATATACAAGGTCATCACCTAAGCTTCAGTGAAACACTACGGGCCACCCCATAATTTGTTTATAATTACTTCATACTCCTTGTGTATATTGCTCCATAACATATGCAAAGCATTTGCTGCTTAAAGGTTAGCTTGGCTCACAGGGAGTCTTATATGTGCTTGCATATGAAATGTTAAACATTTAAAAACTTCCCTATAGAGGGCTGCCTTCAGATGTCTTCTAAAGGTTGTACAGTTACTTATCTCCTTGGCTCGGAGGTCACATAACTCCATACCCTCCGATATTTCTCTGATGGAAATAAGGAAGTCCTAAGGAAAAGCAGGACATTCCGGGATCAAATCAGAAACTGGGACAGCTTCTGTAAATCCAGGGCTGTCCCTGGAAAACAGGGACGCTTGGAGGGTCTGCTGTGATGCTTAGTCCTAGTAAACTCTGACCAGGGAGATCTGCCCTTTTAAAATCTGTTTGGGCCCATAGCCAATGGCTCCTCTTGTGGGGTCCAGAGCCAAAATGCCCCCTGAAATCGATCTCTCTTTCTCGGGGCTCAGCTGCCCCCTAACCCCCTCAAAACAACACCCCACCATTTCTTCTACCTCTTTATGTTGAAAGCCAGCAGTGTGTTGTATAACACTTCATCCTGAGGCCTGTCTTGTTCATCTCGGGATGCTTAGGCAAACTTCGTAGTGTCAGTTGAGAGTAGTGTCAGTTGAGTGCTGGTGGTTGCTAGGTTGCGGAGGTCCTTGTGACACGCCCTTCATTGTGACACCTCCCTCTGCTGGCTCATTGGACCTCTAGAGGCATAGCGATCTCCTTTGGTTTGACCATTCAGCTAGTGAGAGAAAGTGGATGGAGGTGTAAGAAGACTTTCTCATCAGCATCTGCATTCTGGGCTGGTAATGCTCCATGAGAGTCTTAGGGAACATTTAAAATAGGGAGGTCCTAAGGAAAAGCAGGACATTCCGGGATCAAATCTGAAACTGGGACAGCTTCTGTAAATCTGGGACTGTCCCTGAGAAATAGGGACACATAGAAGCATTTGGAAATAGGGGCATTTGGAGGGCCTACAGAAGTGTAAGAGTATACAAACATTATGTATGGAAAGTGTGCAGTCATGTAGTTTTGTCCACTCAGACTGAAGCCTTTTGCTCTGTTGTGACTGATAGAAATGTACCAAAGAAAGGTCAATGGCCTGGGTGGGGGGGGGAGGGAGTTATTTTCCAAAGCCACTGGGATACTTCCTGTCAGTTTGCCTAATTAAGTATTACAGTATTTAAGTTACAAAATTGTAGATTATTTTTACAGGTGCCATTTTAAATAGAATATGAAATTTCTTGACATTACATCAGCCAAACCCGCAAAGCCCAGCTGCACTCGGTCTTGCACATGTGATGCACATGGCTGAAATCTTGTACTATGACATCATGGGCTACAAAAGCACACATAATATAAATAGACGATGTAATAGTCGAGAAAGCGCTGCAGAACTGGCTTCTCCTTAAAGCTGCCCATGAGAGATCTAACAGGAACATGGAAATGTAAACTCTTAAAAGAGTTCAGATGGAGAATCCAAAGAAAGGTCATTCATAAGAGCAGGTGGAGGTCATATGAGCAGTGCTATATTGCCCTCCAGTGGGCAATGACTGTCTATATAACTAGTGATCAATGCAAAACAGTTGTGAAGCTAAACTACTCCGACAGCTGTAGAGAGAGGGGGGTAGAGAGAATTGTTCACACTGGCAATATGCTAAAGACGTCAGATCAATTAAGTAGCACCTCTCTTTTAATATTAGATTGGTGTTTTCTGTGCAAATCAGCAAAATATTTAAAGAGGTGACTTTTGGAAGAGTTTTTAAAGTATAATATTATTCAGTTATTTCATTGTTATGGTCTTCCAACAAATAGTGGCCACATTATTGCTATTGCAAAGACACGGACAACTTTTAAAAACTATTTTTAAAAGCACCTTTGGGTCAGTTGTGCATTCCTTGAACTCAGAGACTTGTTTTGATGCTGGTTTTTTCAGTGCAAATTCCTTTCCTTTTTGCATTTAAACATGTCTAACCTCCAGATTCTGGAAGAGGGGGAAATGTCAAGGAATATGGAAATCCAAACTGTCTGGAATTATTAGGTTCAGGACTATTCGTTTCACAATTTGGAACCTCTAACAGGCAACAACACCATGTGTCTGGAACCGAAGTCTCCAAATGTTGGCGGTTCCAGTGCATAATTTCTGAAATCTCAAAAATAGGTTGAAATATGTTATTGAGTGGTTAATGCACCAGCTTTCTTCATTTGATTCTTGTAGAATGTGCAGCTGTCTAAGGGAAACGCTGGATCCGTCAGAACTAGCAGTGTAGGTTTAAAATATGGAAAATGTAACATGTGTAAACAATTTAAAATATAACTTTGTGCTAACGAGGGGGTATGGCTTGGTGACCAAAGCACTAGAACTGAGTGACCTGAACTCCGGAGTCATAGACTGTAACTATACACACAAGCCACTCTCCCAAGGTCAGTCCCGTGTCTCTGAGTAAACTGTAGGCATCACAAACATGGAGCTTCAGCTAGGTTACACATACTCTCTCTCTCCACACACACACACACACACACAGTAGAATTCTAAGCTGCCACCATCCTTCTTTCGTTTCATCTTTACAAGTGTTTTGCCACTGTCAGAGGAAATAAAAAGGGCAAAGGGGTTTAAGTGGCTATTGGGCTCATTGCAGTCTTTACAAAAACACACAAATAATGGATTGAGTTCGCTGCCACAAGATGAGGCAATGGCTGGCTTAGATGGCATTTAAAGACTTTGTGGAGGCTAGATGCATCATTGGCTATTTGTAATGATGGCTGCCTGTCTCCTTCAGAGGCATTATTCTCTGAAGGCTGCTTCGTGTTACACACACATATGTGCACACATGATAATACCAGGCTGAGCATTTCCTCTGCATCAACCTTTCTCCCCATTTTCTCATCAATTAACAACCAGAGAGAGAACATTTTGGGAAAATTCTTATGATGGGGTGTGTTTCTTTTCTGTGTGTACATTACTTTCAAGGTGACTGAGGGATCATGCCAGTGCCCTGTCTTTTATTATACAAATCGTTTCTCCAGTGGTCTGCATTCTGCAGCCTTCTCAGATGCGTGAAAGCCTCGTGACATCTCCAGCGGGGCTTTCCTATGAGTGAGGGGAAGTGGGGAGGTTATCTGAGTTTTTTTTTAAAAAGGTAAAGGACCCCTGGACGGTTAAGTTCAGTCAAAGGTGACTATGGGGTTGTGGCGCTCATCTCGCTTTCAGGCCGAGGGAGCCAGTGTTTGTCCACAGACAGCTTTCCGGGTCATGTGGCCAGCATGACTAAACCGCTTCTGGCACAACAGAACACCGTGATGGAAACCAGAGCCCACAGAAATGCCGTTTACCTTCCTGCCACAGTGATACCTTTTTATCTACTTGCACTGGCATGCTTTCAAACTGCTAGGTGGGCAGGAACTGGGACAGAGCAATGGGAGCTCACTCTGTCATGGGGATTCGAATCGCCGACCTTCTGATTGGCAAGCCCAAGAGGCTCAGTGGTTTAGACCACAGCACCACCACAGATAACGTCCCTAGAGAAGTTATCTACTGTTCTCCTGCCAGAAGTTTATTGTTTGTCCCCATGAGGTGTTTGTTTATTAAGGAAAAGGAGGACTTTCCCTTAAAAACAAAATCAGCTAGCGCACCAATCTCAGGTGTATGGTAGCCAGGATCACCCAGGGCCATAGCGTGGGCCAGCATGGGGGCCAGAGCCCTGGGCACAAAAAATGGGGGGGGGAGCCAGGTGCCCCCATGCAGGGATCCCCATCCTGCCTTGCTTGTTGCCAGGGGTCTCTGAACCCCAGAGGCTGGCCTGGCTTTGCCCCTGTGTCCCCAGCCCCCTCACTGAATGGCTGCCTGCAGTGTCGGGGAGATTTGCCCTCCAACAGCTTGGCGCCAGTGTTGAGCTCCATGAACCCTCAACACTATGTGCAGCTGGCAACATTGATGGCAAAGGCGGACATAGTGAGTTCTGTTTTCCCCTGCCCGGTATGCACACAAACCCTGGGCAGTAAAAAAAGGCTGCAATGCCCTGGTGCCACCAGCTTCTTGCGCTTCCGTTAAAGCCCTGGGGGGAAAGGTGATGGCGTTTCCAGACCATAAAGTGCAGGCAGCCAGCGAAGCAGAAGAGCACTGGAGAAATATTAATGGGGGGGGGAGGTGAAGGCACCACCTCACAATGATTGGCTGCTGTCCCATCTTCATATTTAGCTGAATGTGGCATTAGTGCTGTAAATGATTTGCTACTGAAGAAAATAAATCAACTGGATATCCCTAAACGAGGAGACTTGAGACTGAAGCTGACTAAACTGGTGCCTAATACAAAATCTCTCTGCAGCAGGCATGAAGCACAAGGATCTACTTTAGTCTACTTATCTTGAGGTGAGCTCGAATTGTATTCTGAATTTGTTAGGTACCTTTATTTTATTATATAGCAATTAAAATGACCAAAGTAGGAATATTTGCATCCCAAAATGAAGTCGGAACCGGTTGAGATGTAAACCTGCAAAAAAGGCGTTACTTCCTATTTTATCACTAACAAACCTTTTGACCCCCGTGCTCTCAGCTTTTTTCCCACGTACAGCTAAAAACATACCTGTTTATCTGAGCCTTTAGAAAGAGGTGGCCGGGGCCACTGTTATATTACTTCTGCTTACTGGAATGTACCGGTTTTGTTGTTTTATTGCAGATTTAATACGAGTGTTATAAACGTTTTATTCTGTTATTATGCTGGAATTCTATGCGTGTCGCCCTGGGCTCCTTGGGTAAGGGCGGGGGGGAAATGCAACATACCAATGAATACGTATATTAAATGTTTTGCAGCCTCGTTCAGCTGCACCACGCAAGGCAGCAGTTGTGTCTCTCAGCATCCTTGCAGGTACGTTTGTGGTGTCTCATCCTTGCTCTATAAACATGTGGGTATCCTAAGTGACCTATTGAGTTGCTTTGCACAGTCCATTCGGCCAGGCTGAGAACGGAACGTGTTGAAAATCTGCTCTTTCTACAGGATTTCACTCCAGGGACTTCTTTTTTTAAAAAAAATAACTTCAAATCAGAAAAATCAAAGCTTTAACAAACGAAAATAAAATGCTAGGGATATGACCCCCACCGTGGCCTGAAACCAAAGCAAATGTTTGCAGGAACTCCTGAGAAATGAAACTGCTGAGCTCACAACATTTTAATTATAACATTCAATTTTTTTTTTTTGGGAAGGTTCATAAAAGGGGTAGAAGTTGTGGAAGTGAACACACACAAAGGCTTTGCCTTAGGAAAGCTGACTGAGAAAGGAATGCCGAATGCCCCCGAGGAATTTGGACTAGAATTCTACAACGTAAAAGAAATCTACTTGCGGGGTTGGGGGGGGCGGAGTGGGAGCTACTTAAAAGCCAGATGGAGAGATCATAACTGAAATTCATTCTGGTTAAATATAAACAAGCCGGGGGGGGTTGGGGGGCGGCAGCAGAGGCTGGTGTGGTCACACAGGGATGTAAAAGCCTCATATATAGTGTATGCAATAAGCCGAAAAGAGAGCTTTTAAAATATAACTAGGACTGGGAATTGCAATTTTTTTAAAAAAATAAGCAGTAGCTAGTTAAAATGAGTAATTAGAGGGGCAAAGGGAAGTAATGAACATTAAACGTCAGCTGACCATAGAATGGCGACAGGGATACATAGAGAAAACCAGCTACTTAAAATGAATGTTTATTAGAATGATGGAGTTGGGAAAATAGCTCAAATCTAGTTATCGCGAATACCAAGGGAGATATTCCTGCTCCATCCCGCTCCAATATAAGGATCTGGCCCATTTGATTGTTCCCTTATAAATAGCTATTTTCAGAGCTCAAGGATGTTTCCTTACTTAAAAAAAAAATGAAGGCAACCACCAAAATGATGATAAGCAAAAAATAATTATTCTGTTGTCACACTCTTTCGACTCTCCCTGAATGATGAGAAGATGAGAGAGAAAACACTTTAGGGTTTAGTTACCTTTAGATGGTGGCATTTCATGATTCTAAATGAATATTGTACCAA